AGCGTACACAAAGATTCTGAGCTGATCACGAGGAAGAAAAATCACCCATTTTTCGCGCATAAAAAGTGGTTTTTAACTCTCGAAACCTGTTTTTATATGTTTTAAAGTCGTGCAATGTCTAAGTTAAGCAGGAACACATCATTATATCTCATTTTTTATTTATTTTTAAAAAAATTTAAAAATCGTTTGCCCAGCCTATTATAAGAGCATATAAGAGTTACACTGTAATAGAAATTCAGACATTCATGGTTCCCTTTTTATTTTGTTATTAAATTCAGAATCATCGATTGTTTTTTTCTATTCTATGCCTGCTTGTTCTGGAACTGCTAATTGGGTCTTTGTATCTCCTATCAGTCACCACTGTACCCGTATGGGGAAAAAGAGAAAAAATTCTGACACGCTCATCCAGACCACCCAGCCATTGGGTATCCAAGAAAAGCTTACAGCTGAAGGCTAATTGGGCAGCATGGTGATGCAGTGATGAACATTGCTATATCACGCTAATGCGGCCCTGGGTTCAATTCCCAGGGTGCTCTCTGATTGGAGTTTGTGTGTTTGTGTGGGTTTTCTCTGGGTGTTCCAGTTTCTCCCGACAGTCTAAAGACATACTGGTAGGTTAATTGGCTTTTGGAAAGATTGCCCCAGGAGTGAGTACATTTGTGTTTGTATGTGCCCTGCCTTGCACCCATTGCTTGCTGGGATAGGCACTGGCTCCCCTTAAACCCTAAGCTGGATAAAGCTGTTAGAAAATGGATGGATGAAGGCTAATTTGAAAAAGCATTGTCGCATTGTAGCTAAAAAATCTATAACAAGTCTGTGCAAAAATGATCAACTGAACACCAAAATGGCTGCCTTGTAGTGTGTTTACTTCTCTCTTCCTTTAAACTAGGGTCTCCCAGGGGCAAAAGGAAAGAGGGGGCCACCAGGCCCTGAAGGGCCACAGGTACTACAAATATGAGATTCACTCTTTTTTTCAGTGGTTGAATGATGCCGCCTACCTAATAATTCTAGGCAATTTTAATTCTCATAGTTAATTCTCATGTAATAAAATGCATCTACAGTATATAGCACTTTTTAACCCAAAGATTCAGTGGATTTTTACATATAGAAGGGAACCTTCCTGAAGTGCAGCCCTCACCTGTGTAACAGAATGTGCATCAACTACAGTATTATGCACCTGAAGCACCACTGTATTGCAGGTCAGGTGGAATGGTGACAAATTTCTTCACCAACTGAATTAAAGGGAAAATGTAAGGAATCCAGATTGTACCAAAGTAGAATTTAGCCAAGTAACCAGGGTTAACACCACTACCTTTTCAAAAAGTGTCATGAGATCTTTAATAACTTTATATATTTCAAAGCATTTCAAAGCACTGAGGGAAAAAAAACTCACAGTTCCTCACACAGAGGACCAGCCATATCCAAAAGGAGACCCCTTAAAAACAGACCTGGAATGTTCACCTTCATGTTGACAATTATAATTATAATTATAAATTATAAGAAAACATGTTTTTCACATGTTAACATATCCCTTTTTCTCAAACAACAGTTTCCAGTCTATGTGTGAATCAGTTTCAACTTTAGTCACCCATAGGTACAAAACATTACAACAGCCCCTGAGCGTAAGACTTGCAGTACAACAAGTAGAATGGGTTCTTGATGCCTAGACCAATGTTGTATTTCTAATGTGTATTTAAATTGCCCACTTGTACAGTATTATAACAGCTTTGCATTTGCCTGTGTTGTCTTTTTGCAATCAGTATAAGTTGTCCTGGATGAGGGCGTTGTCTATACAATGAACAGTAATACCCGAATAGTTCTTCCAAAAGGAGCACACGACATACTGGACAGTATCTTTCTTTATTTGTAACTCGCATTGTCTCTGCATCTTGAGGAATGATGCATTTGTGTGTGCACACAGGGAATCCCAGGACTCAGAGGTGATAAGGGAGGACCAGGACCCAAAGGACCAAAGGTATCAGACCAGCACCATCACTTTAAATAAACACTGTGGTCTTAAGTTCTTCTGGCTTTGATTCCTTTCTTTGCCTAGCAACAGGCTATCAGAATAAAGCTTCTTAGATTTTTATTTTTTGTTTGTGACAGTTTAGTCCCCTTGGTAACTTAGTTTCTGGTTTTCAGCATTATGTCATGGTTCAGCTTTGACCATCCTTCCTAAAGCAGTGATTCAACAAAGGGGTCACTTTATATGCAGGGAACACATAACAGAGAGCAGGAACAAATTATTTACAACTTCCAATTAAAGCCCCAGCCCAGTTTTAAATTTCCCTCTCAATCAGTTAATCAGGAGAGGTAATCAGGAATCAATCACTTCACTTGGTGTTGAGGGATTGGTGTGAGTATTGGTCGAATCCATTCCTGCTTCCTTCTGTGGTTCCTCAACAGTCCTGTCATGCATTTCAGGGTCTGGATGCAGCCAGGGGGCTTCCAGGACCAAGAGGGCCTCCAGGGGTTAAAGTGAGTACCTGCTTTAAAAGAGCCAGAAAAGGCTTGATCGTAACATGATGAGTTCCCACCGAACCACACTGTAAATGCTGGCTTAGTTTTTATTGTATAAAATCAGATCAGACATGATTTATTCATATACCGTATATAGTTATGACAGTCGAGATAAAGTGTGGAAAAATTAGAATCATTAGTGAGCTCCAATCATACGATATGCCTTGAGGTATACTGTAATTTGAAGCTGTACAGGTAGAGTCCTAATTTGAAGGAATAGATTGGAGCCTTAGAGCTGTAAAATGGGATCGCATAAATACAGATCTGGTGGCGAATGTATGGCAACAGCTTGAACAGGTCCGGATATAAATGTAAGCAAATTAAAATCTAAAAACCAGTATCTCAAAATGAATCATTAAGGAGGAAAACAAGAGAAAAAAAAAGCACGTAAGAAAACAATTTTAAAAAATAGGATCCAGTTAATTAGATAGAGTGCAATTAATTGCAAACACAAACAAAACATTATATTAAAAAGGCCTGGAGAGACAGAAAAGAATATTCCCATGGAGAATAAAACAAATCATAAAATGTTTTTTTTTTCAGTACCACAATAGCAAACAATCCATAAGGGAGGAAGTACAATGTATCCAGGGAGATGTCTATTAATCCACAGCAAAATTGTCATGCCTCAGACAGCAGAAGAACAAAGTTCTTTAAATAGTGTTTACACAGAAGATGCAGAAGTGTTTCTGGTACTAAAAGCATTGAAGATTTAAAACATAGCATCTTATGATATGCTACCAATTGCCCTTCAGAAACTGCCATCTTGAGTAAGATTACAATTGATTAATAGGACTAAGGTTCGGAGAATGAGATGGCCAGTCGAGAACATTTATTTTGTATGCAGTTAACCATCTCTTTGCCTGTTTGGATGAATGCTTTGGATCTTTGTCATGCTGAAATGTCTGTTTTCAGCCAAGCTTGAGCTTAACCAGGTGTCTGGCCAGAATGTCCTGGTACATGTTGAAATTCATGATTCCCCTTTCTTGACAAGAGATCCATAGATGCATAGATAGACCTCCTCACAATATTTCACAGTGGACATAAATGTTTTCTGAACATAAACTTTATCTTTTGCTCTGCCAATCATATCTGATCAACATGGCCTCAAACCTACATTTTCATTTAATCTGACCATAAGGCGTTGTTTCGATTTTCATTCAAAAGGTGTTTGAGTTGCCTCTTTTTTGAGATTAGCCAACAGAAAAGGCTTATTTCTTTCAGCCAAGCTATGAATGCCACATTCATTCTGGCAATTTTGAGTGATAGTTTTTGTATTCCGAAGATGCCAGTGTGGAGATTTCTACCTGTTGCCAAGAGATTCCTCTGACCTATAACATGATGTTGCCGTGTATAACCTCCTCCTTTTATACCCCCAGAGAAACAAGAAACCTTTAGAGGCCTCTATACAGTTCCAGAGGCTTTCATTGCCCTTCCAAAGACCACAGGAATCACTTTTTAACGTAAACGGTTGTGGGTGTATGGAACAAGCTACCAGGCCATGTTGTTTGATGGGGCGAAAAGCCTCCTATCGTTTGTAACCTTACTTACCTGTTCCTGTTCTTCTGTCAAAGGGAAACCAAGGGTCAATTGGCCTCAGGGGTCTTCCAGGTCCAAAAGGAAAACAGGTATTTATCCAGTTACATCTTACAGTTCTTTTATTGCTGCTTCTTTCTACTGAAAGTTCTCAAAACCCAGATTGGCTGAATGACCTCGTCACATCAAAACGAGTCTTATCAAAACGTTACAAATTAGGATTTTAGCCCCTATGACATATCTGCTTCTAAAGTCAGAAACCATAATCCTTTATTAAAATAATCACATCAGTGTGATAGACTCGTGGTACAGTAATGTATGTTTAGCGGAGAGCAATTTTCCAATTGAATTTATTAATAAAATCAATGTTAATCTAATGATTTGGAGGCAAGAAGGTTTTTACCATTAAAATCTAATTGGGGAAAAAATATTTTTTAGATCTTATTTCCATCACTTCCTGTAAGTTAAAGCACACACTGGAAAGCCCAGAAATAACGGAAGCACACTTATTTGCCCACTTTCTTTGTATGCAGCCTTATTTGACCAGTATAACTCCTTCATACATGTAACATAGGACAAAATGAATGTAATAATTTATAAATAAAGAGAGAGAAATAATTCTTTATGAATATTTTTCAATAAGACAAAATGAGTATAAGCATTCAGAATCACTTTAAACCCACCCATAACTCAAACCACAACCTCAGCCCTACCCACAAGCCAAACCTTAAGACATACTTTAACCTCAAATGTTGTAAAACTTAATTAGTTTATTAACTGTATATACCTATTATGTTTTATGGAACAATAGTATTATTTGAATGTACTGTAGTTACAGTGGAATATGTAGTGTATATAAATTAAGGCCCCGTTCAAGTTAAGAGTTACTGTTATTGAAAAAAGGGCTACACGGTGACATAGTATTTAGCATTGCTGCCTCTCACAACTGCGGCCCTGGGTTCAGTTCCGGACCTGGGTTGCTATCTGCGTGGAGTTTGTGTTCTTGTGGGTTACTGCTAGGTACTCCAATTTCCTCCCACAGTCCAAAAAGACATTGGCAGGTTAATTGGCTTCTGGGAAAACTGGCCCTGACTGTGTTAGTGTTTCTATGTGCCCTGTCATTGACTGGCGTCTCGTCCACGGCATATGCTACTGTACCTTGTGCCCAATGCTTGCTGGCATAGGCTCCAGCTCCCCCACAGCCCTGAACTGGATGAAGCAGGTAAAAAATGGAAGGATGGATGTTATGGAAAAAAAAAAACTAGTGTTTAGAGAGTCTCACCAGATCATGAACTCCTCACAAAGAAGGCAAAAAAAATAATGCTTCACTACTTGTTCAAGGAGAAAGGAAAACACAACCTATTAACTTCACAATATAATTTATACCAGATAACTGTCAAAAGGTTCTCTGTTTCATAAACAAGAATGAGATGAAAGAAAATCTTGTTAGTTTTAAAGTTAGTAATACAGTTTTCTTTGCTTAATAATAGTTTTACTATTTTGCATTTTCTGGAGCTAATACACTGTACTTTATATTTTTAGGGAAATGTAATAAAAAATAAGTTCATAAACATTTTCTAACTAATAAAGATTATTAATAAAGATTTAATAAAGATTATTCAGATATGAAATTTCTTGGAGTGTTAACAGAAAAAAAATCTATGGGCATTGCCCAGTGTTTCTGAAAGTACAGTATGTACAAAGGCAAACTATTTAAATGTCAAGAAAAAAAATTGAAGATCTCAATTCATATTATGAAAAAAGAATCTTTAAACGTATTCTAAGTAAAACATTCTGTAATGTTTTCATTTTTTTGGTTGACGTTCCCTGTCAAAATTGATTTGGGAACAGAACATTTAAACAAATTTAATTAAAACATATTTATCTGGGAAGTTAATTCATGATTAAGAATAGAGGCATTTCTTAACACAAAGGGTTGTGGGAGTCTTGAACAAGCTACCCAGCTTCCTACAAGAAACAGCTGGGTGGGATCCTCAAATCAATCGCCTACTAGAAACCTAACAAGCTATATGGACTGAATGACCCTCTCTCACTTGTTATCATTATTCTTCTTAATTTTTATCCAGTTAAATTTATTTTGTAATAACAAATTGTTTAAACCTTTCTTTTAGTTTCAACAGTAAAATGTCTTTGTTAAAGGATTGAAGTAGTCCTTGCTCTTGTCATGTCAGCTTGCAGTGAGCCCCATTCGTGACTTGTAATGCAACGGTGTTGTTTCAGGGAGACACTGGTCTGCAAGGTCCATCTGGTCACAGAGGTCTGCCAGGCCTTCCTGTAAGTACGCCACTGGAATGGCATGGCCTTCAATGGGCACAATGTCCAGAGCAGCCTCTTTAACAGGGAGTACAGAACAACTCCAATTGATTATCTCATACATTCCCAGAGGACTGTTAGCTTCTTGCTGTTGTGTTCAGATTTTGAGACTTTTGAAAAATATTCTGTTTTCTGCCATATTATATTGCAGATTTTGTTTTTAAGGGTCTATTTGATAGAATAGTCCGTGGGACTTTGTTTTATATGTACTTTTCCTTAAATTGCATTTATTTTTATTTCCAGGGTCTCTTTGGAAAAAAGGTACGTATTTTGTATTCATTTTGTCATCTTAGATCTGAGAAGCAAAGGCAAAACTGATGAAGATACTGTAGGTCAACTATTTCTGCTGTGAAAGGAGGGTTTTACTCAGTCTCTGTCAATACCAACTTGACTAAACTGTCCACTCTGGCTAGAGATACTCTATAAAGGTAAAGATATATATACAGTGTATTCTATATTAACAGATAAAACCATAGAAAAAATGTTTGAAATTGGGCTTATAAGGAGTGACTGTTTTACAGTTATTTACAGTCAATCCTTAATTTAATTTTTATAAAACTGTTTCTATAAAGCCAAACTGTTTTCTGTGCAATTGGCCATCACATAGCAAAGAATCTCTTAGGAATTTGAATAGACTGTTTTATCTTTTAAGCAAGCCACATGTATTGTAGTTGCTTGCCAACTGGGAGGGGGATGAATGAACTCTTAATGGTTCACAATTAGGAACCTCAAGAGATGGCAGCAGATTCGTGAATGCAAAGTCAACTAAAAGCCATGAGGCAGATTTCTGCTACCTTTCCCTGGTCAGAACAATCCTCCGATCTCTGTCCTGGTGACAACTGGAGGAGCCTGTAGACAATGCTATTGATCCACTTCAACTCAAGGCAATCCTGCCTGAAGGAAAGGTGCTGTCTGTACACCCTGCTCTTCTAGTTGTTCTTGCTGTTCTTAGGGGACTAATGTTATATGATGACGGGTTCTGAATTATTTGGCCAGTTACCTGCAAGATGAAAGTGTTATCTCTCTTTTTATTCACATTGGTTTGGCTGTAATACTATGATTTTTATTTACTTCAATTTTTCTTTGATTTAAAAATGAAGAAGATATCTTTGCCTCTCTTTTCCAGAGAACAATGTGACATCATAACGCACATCGTGTAAGTTTTAGTTGTAAGTTGTAAGAATATCACTTCTACACGACGTGCGGTATGATGTCACATTGTTCTCTGGAGAAGAGAGGCAAATAAACTTGCATTATTCTTTTGAGGAATGTACTTAGATCTCTTCCATCCACATTCACAGGGAGTGAAAGGCGTTCAAGGAACACCAGGAGTGAAAGGACAACGTGGCCCACGGGTAAACACTTAAATCGTCTCTTTTTATCCATCCCTTGGTTTTACCCAGTCTTCCAATTTCAGTCAGTGCACTTTTATGCGAGTAGGTCAGTACCTCATGTTTGGAAATGTTTGAACACTCTTGGCACAAGGTGCTCCAAGGGTATTGGCAAAGTGAAACACTACTTTATCTCCAGAAACAAGAATATGAAACCACAAATGGTTAAGAGGAATTGTACTTAGAACTGAGAAAAGTAGGCAAGGGCTATGGAATAGGGAATAATTTGCCTGCAAAATACATTTTTCACTTTGCAGCCAAGCAAGCAATATAGTGAATGGCCTTGTGTCATTTGAAACCTTCATATGATCATTGCTTGACTCATCTCAGAAGACCAGTGAAAGAGTGTCGGGTGACTTTTGAAATCAAGATCAACTCTTTTGTGAGAGTCAAGCCATTCAGATGTGGTCGCAGTGCAGGAACAGTTTTATTGAATCAAACCACTCAAGAAACAAAAGAAAATCCACAGAGGAGAGAGACCATTCAGCCACAGTCAGTGTGGGAAGAATTGAAGTTGGTCCAGCAGTTTTAAAACTCTCCAGTGCAATCACACAGACCGGCTTTCATTCAGCTTCAGTCAGTGTGGGAAGAATTTTAATTAGTCAAGCAACTTGAAGATGTACCAGCTTATTCACACAGGGAAAACACCATTCAACAGCAGTCAGTGATGGAAGAGTTTTAGTTGTCATCTAAGCTTGAAATATACAAGCACTTTCACCCTGGAGATAGGATGCTGTCTGAGTGGAAGGCATTTAATTTGTTCATTTAAACAAAATTTGAAAAAAAAAACCACAAAGATATACGGTACACATAGGAGTGAAACCATATAAATGCAGTCAGTGTAGACAGACTTCTAGAAAGTGAACCCACTTGAAGAGACACTAGAATGCGCACACAGAACTGGGACTGCTCAGCAGCAAACAATTTGAGAAGAGGTTTAGCAAAATATTCCCAGACAATTCACTCAGTGGGGAAGCCAACCAAGTACTCCTCAAGGTCAATGTGAAGTGAGTTGTAGCTGCTGTCAGCTACAAGGGCTGTAGTTGGTCGAGCAGCTTTCAAGGTAATCAATCATTCAGAAAGAAAATAAAAAGCACCAGCTTTGTTTTTACACAGGAGACTGGCCAGAATTCTTTTTTGAATAAAGCAATGTGTATGGGAGGCCTTTCAGTCATACTGGACTCTTCAAGGAACACCTGTGCAAGAAATAACATGACAGCCAAATGGAGAGTGCAAAAAAAAATGACAGCCAGAAGGCGACACTCCGAACACAGGGAAAACTTTGTTTTCCGTACATTGTCACAAGGAAATCAAGGAATTGGCTGCACATGGTATGAAGATGGTCCACTATAAAAAGACTTTTAGAGTAGACAGGGGTTGTCTACTCAGACACTCCTTAGTCTCTATGATAGTGAGACCTCAGAGTGAGATTTAGATTGGAAAAAGTTTGGAAGGTTTACACATATTCTTGATACTTTACAACTTTAAAGAAGACCTACCTTATTCATTAGCAGACTCAATTGCCACTCACTACTTTCTCGCTACTATTTTTTGTAAAGTCAAACCTAAGTGTTTTGTAAAGATTAAGAGTAAAATATGAACCGGAAGTCTCAGGAGGAGTCTGTAACGTTGCCATAGCCAAAATGTAATGTAGTGTGCTCTCTGAAGGCACCAGTTCTGTAGGGTTTGGGTATTTACATTTTGGCTATGGCCAAAATTGATATCAACTGGTTGGGATAACAATTGAATTCTCGAGCTGTAATGCATTGAAGTTGAATACTCATCCAATCTTTGGGGATTCAGATCTCCTGCGGACTCAAAGAAGCAGTTGCAGGCTTGTTGCTGTCCAATCCGCGCTCTCTGGCTCGGTGCCAGGCTGCAGATGCTCACTGGCCGGCTAGTTAGTGTTGGCTTTAACTAGCAAAGTTTCCGCACAGGAGAAAAGATGACTGTGGGTCCCAGCAAGTCAGGAAGAGGACCGGTTCGTTCCTGATGAAGAGCTAGTTCTGAATAGTGATTCAGCTGTCCACAGTTCCGACCTGTTCACGAGGCCTGCTGCTGGTGCTAACCTCGGATGGATCCTCTGTTTACTCTCTGGCAACCTCAGCTCTAGACTCTTAGAACAAAGGAAAGTTCTGGCACTCGGACACACTGGCCGTTCCGTGGTTGTCCGGGCTGAGTCTCAGGATGGTCAGGAGGCACTCTGCGAGAATGTCCTGCCCTTGGGAGCCTTCTGCTCCTGGGCCATCCTGCCCTGGAATTCTCCTTTGAACTCCCTTTAGAAAAGTCCACAGAATTCTCCACTGAATCTCTGAATCTTTCAGGCTCTCTGTGTTGCCTGTTTTTACCTGGAGGAACTTCAGCTCGTTCATTGGCTGAAAGTTCCATGGGCATCAGAGTCCCACGTGGGTTACTCGGCCCTACCAGTCCCTGATTGGTTGATCAAGGTGAGATATGAGTCACTTAATCCTGACACTTAGGAATGCAGTCCAGATGTCCATCTGGCACTCCCTAGACAGATAGGCGCCAATGGATGACCATTGATCATGATAGCCAGGCTTAGCTAAGTGCATCCCCCTTTGGGAGCTGTCCTAGGAAACCTTAACAAAGGAAACCTTAAATCAGCCTGCATGAATAGTTTCTCTGTGGCTGCACCACAGAGATGAACAGAGAGATGAGGCCTAGTTTGGGAAGGCTCAGAAACACTTAATTCTGCCTTATTAATAAGCCTCGCCGCTACAAGTCTAAAGGGAAAAGATGGAGAACAGAAGATAACTCTTTTACATACTGCTGTGGAAAACTGGAACATTTTACAAATGTTACAATGTTCAGATGTCCAGTAAAGTGCCGTCCATTTTGGAGTGGATATTATAAATTTAATGCTAATAAAGAAAACTTACATTAACAGGGGCAGCCAGGACCACCCGGACGCCCTGGGCCAAGAAGGAGACTCCAAAATGTAGGTATACAACTTCACACTTTTATAATGACAATGACTTGCCAAACATACACATCAGGCATTTTAGTGTCTTTCCCAAAGTATAAAAATATCCTTTCGGATTTTCCTTTGCTATGATGTGTGTTTATTAGCTGCATCTAATTTTTATTCTGTTTAGTTTTATACATTTGAAGAGAATTATCAGTTATTCCTCCCAAGTAAAATTATCAGTTGTTCTGACTCAAAGCTGCTCCAGTAAGTGAAGAAATTGAATCATTTCAAAACTGGAGTGCAAAATTGTAATTATGGGTCAACAACAGTAATGAAAGTTTTGGTGTTGGTGGCTTTGCAGAATTGTATCTGTTGCTAATTTACCTCATACAACATATTAGAAGGGATGGATAAACTACAAACAAAAGCTTGTGAGGCACAACTTCACTAGTGAAGAGCATTATGGAACAATACAAACTTTGAAATTTGTGTGTTTCAGACATTTAGTGTTCCAACCAGATTGAGAGAATATTTTCAGCTGGACCAGAGTATGCTGGAAGACATTGATTTGATGAGCTGGGCACAAGGCACCAAGGACAATCCTGCTACAACCTGCTTGGAACTGAAGCTCAGTAATCCACATTTGGAAGATGGTAAATAGTCTGTTGCTCCAGGATAGAACAGCATGTTTAAGGTCAATGATTATATTGTTTTTTAATATATAAATCATTTTAAATAATTCAAGAGAGTGTCTACTCCTCTGCATCCTCCAAAAGTGTCTCTAAAAGGTTTTGTTTGAGAACATTAGAAAGTTCCAAACACAATCATGGATTACAGTTTGTCAGGCGCTTAGGATTTTGGCATTTATAAAGTTCCAGGAGTCATTTGTTCAGAGCATATGAAACTTTTAAATTTTTCCTCATCAGCCAATGTTGTCATTGCAGGATATTACTACATGGACCCCAATCAAGGTTGTCCTTTTGATGCCCTCTACGTCTTCTGTAACTTCACCGCAGGTGGACTCACATGTGTCTCTCCGACTAAGTCACAGGTAATGTACACTACAACAAGATGTATATAGTGTCTGGTATAATGGCTTTATCCTACAGTCACCACAAACCAGACCACATACAGTACAATGGACCAGTGGAGACACAATTAACAAACCAAGCGATAGCTTTATTCATAAACAACCATAAAACCAAACATGCACATGAGGAGACTGACGGAACACGTACACATCTTTAGGGTGGTCATTACTTAACAACACGCTATACACTTATAAGACTACACAGGGCACTAGAACTACGAGGACATTATTTACACAGGTAGGGTCAGCCGCTGGTCATCGTGCTGACCCTCAGACTCTCCCTGGCTACAACTCCCAGCCTGCCCAGTGGTACTATGAGCCCCTAGGGGCGCTTCCTCCTCACCACCAGGCGAGGGTGTTACAATATATAAAATAAATGTTAATAGGCTGCAATCATTTGGCAGGATCCAAGAGCAGGTAAGTAGCAAGTTGCTTTGATTATTCCAGTTTGCTTTGAGCTACTCTAGTGAGAATGGATATATCACTAATAATAAAAATTAACACCTGTCTTTTACTTTACTTAAATAAGAATTGAGCTGTAGCAAGATATAATTATAAGGCAGAACATCTGAGGAAAAGGAAAACAGGAACCCTTTTTCACTAAGATTTGAACTTTTCTGTAGATCTCAGGAAGATGGAGCTCCAAAGAGAAGATCCAGTGGTTCAGTCAACTCAGCACTGGTTTTAGAGTGAGTATTATCTCCACAATGACTATGACCAACTTACTGGTTGTTACTCTTATGACTTTTTTAGTAAGTGTGACCTAAACAGTATTAAAATAGTTATAATACAATTGCATACGGTTATAATACAATTATATTATATAACTATGTACTTTGACTATAAATAGTTACAATTCCAGTTTTGTAAGCATTCTGTACTATGTTTGACAGCAAGGTACTTGCGTCATGCTGCTTTAACTGTTTGTATGATTATGTCCCAGTTTGGGTATTCAGGCCTCACTACAGTCCAGCTTCGGTTTCTACGGTTACACAGTAACTTCGCCTCCCAGCGGCTTACACTGCCTTGTGCAGTCTCTACAGCCAATGACAAAAAGCCATTCAGCAGAGACTTCGCCCCACTGTTCCTGGGAGACAGCAGCGCAGAAATCACACACACAGACCCAGCCTACAAAGTCTTATCACATACATGTAAGGTAAGAGCTCGACCATATATTAGACATTTTGAAAAAAAGGCTGTATTACACTTCCATAGTAGTTTTGCCCAAACTATACAGTACGCATTATGGGGTTTGGTACAGGTAACTCCACAGTAATGCTCATACATATGAAATAATCAGCATAGTTTAAATTTGGTGAAATTTGTATTTTATTTGTATTTAGTACTTTGTGGATCCTGTTTTCAGTAAGAAGGATAAATGAATCAAATGTTTATATTGAACATTTTACTTTTTAGCCTTTGTCAGTGTCTGAAGAACAGGGGAATCCAAAAGGGTTGGACAAATTTCATTATGCTCTCAGATGAAACAATTTTGTTTTGGAGAGATGTCAATTTCATTTCGTTTCATGACTAGAAGGTTTCAAGGGCTTCAACAAAAAAAAAAGTATTTGTGCATAAAGCAAAAGCAGTGGGTGCCATTGACATTGCAATACAGGGTTTTGACCACTTGGTGTCAGCCTCCGACTCCTTATGTGAAAAGACTGGCTCTGAATGCACATATCTCTTCCAATTGCAGTTCAGTTTCCCCTATTCTCCTATAAAGTAATGGAAAACGTTGCAGGACAACAAGTCTGATAACTAAGTTCGAAAAGAGCCACTCAAGCAATGTGCTTCTGAAATGCTGCCAGGAGTTTCTATATAACTATATTCCATTTTATTTTCTTGCATTTTTTTTCTTTGTTTGGTGCAAGTATAGTAATTATTTCAGTTTAGTTGTTTGGAATCCAGCAGTAACTGAACTGCATGACATCAATCAAGTTTGTCTTGGACATGCATACAGAATCTGGTACCCAAGATAAAATAAGATTAGGATTAAACTCAAATCTCAGAAATGTGATGCAACCCCTGCATTAAGACAAGGATTCCGAATCCTGGTCCTGGATGTCTACAGTCCTGCTGGTTTCCTTTGAGCTTAATGACTTTATTGAGGCCTGAATTGAACTAATTTTTTCTCCTTAAAAGTTTGGCATTTTACATTACATTTGTGTCACGATATTAGTCCCCCCTCCTTAAGGGTGCTCCAGGCCTTTCACTCAAGACTTTATTCGGTGCACCTGTTTCCCATTCCCAGCCCACCTTATAAGCCAGGCGCTGACGCTCATCCGGGCTCTGCATCTGATTTCCATATCATGCGAGTCCGGGACCTGGAAGCGCCTAGTCCCGTTAAGGTTTTAACTTCTGTTCCCGTTCCCGTTCCCGTTCCCCGTCCGCCGGTTCCGACCCGGCCTTCGTGGTTTTTAATTCTTTGTTCTGATGGATTTCCTGGTTTTGGACTTACCCTTGTGTTTTGGATATTCCCTATGGACTACTCTTTTGGATTGTTCGTGCATCAGCGCACCTTGGACACGCCCCCCTGTCTTCAGCCCCGTATTCCTGCATGACGTTTCCCTAGTGTTCCCCCAGTTCGTCGGATTGTGTCGTCCGCATAGGGTCCCGAAAGAACTGTTCGTTACAATTTGAAACGCAATAGTTAAACAATGACCTCTTGTCGGATTTGGCGTGATTCGTTTAAGACCCAATGCGTGACGGTATAATCCGGAAGAGCCTGGAGAAGGACATGAGGGGTCAGGACAGGTTGACAGACAGGGGACAGGGACTGTGATCCGGTGCACGGGGGAAAGGCAGAAGCAACCAAGTTCAGGGAGGTCCAAAAGGTTGTCAGGGCACAGTCCATATTCCATAAACCAGGAGATCCATCCAGGACAAAGACAGTTAAAATCCCCGGGAAGGGGAATCAAGACCAGGAACACGGAGAACTAAAACCTTAACGGGACCAGGCGCTCTGAGTAGGTCAGGATGCCGGGGTGAAGGCCTATGCCCTCAGGCTACTCCAGGCCTGGTGATAGGCGGGCCTTCGGACGTCCGTCTTCCAATGCTGAGCCCGGAACAGCGGAGACGCTAGGCTTATAAAGCCAAAACACTAGCAAGACACACAGGGAAATAATGGAACTGAATCAATAACAGAAACGGGTAGGAGCGCCCTCTAGAGGAGGAATGTGGAGCGTAACACCTCTAACGTGTAAGAGCTGAAAGTAATCGGTTCAAATTGTTCCTGTTCCTATCAAGTCAATTAAGGGTTGAATTGTGAAACTGAGAGCTTGGCTCAGACAAAACCCAGCAGGTGTGTGAGACTCCAGTACCAAGACTAGGAACCCTTCATTAAGTAAACCTGGAAATCAAGCTGTAAATGAAGTGACAGAAATAAGATACTGTCAAAACAAGACATATGAATACCGAGTGTTTTCTTGCAGGTGGAGGGGGAAGAGTCAGTCCAGATCAGTGTAGAAACCCAGGGATCTGATACAGAGCTGCTGCCCTTGAGAGACCTCAGCGTGGAGACATGTGGAGAGGAGGAGAGACATTTTGGGGCCATATTGGGTCCAATCTGCTTTTTATAGCCTCCTGTCCAGCCAGCAGGTCTGTGCAGTGCAAGGACATGAGTACACATCCATCTGAAAATACCTTTAAACTGATGGCGGACAAACAAACAGAACGTTCTGTTTCTGCTGAAGGCCTAGAACAGATGTCGTTGGAAGAACCATGACAAGGACACCTAAAACAGACAGTCTTGACAAATGTATTCACAAACTTAATCTGATGTCTGCGTCATTAATAAAGTGCATAACAGTTATGCAGTAAAGGCCAGCTGAAGCTATAACTATCTCAAAGATATACGTACATATTCCTAAGTTATTCTTTTGTTTTCTTGTTCTAGGTATGGTGGCTTTATATATATATATGAAAAAATTCTACAATTTGTTACAATCTGTGTTTTCGAGAATTCCTGATAGTAGGTTTTTTTTTGTGTTCCTTGTGTTTAAGATACCAGACAATGGTAACAGATGACTGAATGTTTCTCCCCCTGAGCTTCCACTGGCTAGAACCTGCCACTCTGTTGGTTTGTGATTTCTGTCGGATTGTTTCCTCCATAACTTCTGTTGTTTTGATTAATCTGGGGAGACATGACTAATTAAAACTGAGGATGAGAGAGGGAGAGAAGCAGTCACATGATGTGACAATGTTTTGAATATTAGGGAGACTACAGCAGATTCTTTGTTCAATTTGAAACCATTTTTAGGGCAAAGGTCCATGTATAAAATGTATGCTTATTTAGCTTATTGTATGCTAATAAGCTAAAATGGCCATTGAAAAGTTTAAAATGAAAATTGTACTAAAACCTTTTAAACAATTTTACTTTTAGGCTTTATAAACTTTTATGTAAAGAAATGTCATTGTCCCACTAATTATCTTTTGTTCATGCACTCTGTCTGAGAGATATGCTGTCTGAAACTTGATAACAGTGACCTTTGCATTTGAAGAGTCTAAATCTCTATCCAACTGAGATCAAAGCCTGTTAAACTCACCTCTCTTCAGATAATATTCACCCCCACCTAAACGTCTACCAGTATTGCTGTGTTACCATCAGAATGTATGATTAATGCATTGAAATTATTTCCTCTTTATTCACACAACAAAAGCAACAGTTTTTTAACACAAATATTTGAAAAAATTTTAAACAGAAGAATCTTGTTTACTGAATTATTCACCTCCTCCCCTCCAAGTCAATACTTTGTAGAAGCACCTTCTACAGTCATTAAAGACTTTGGGGTCTTCTGTATCAGCTTTGCACATCTGGATTTGGGAATTATCACTCTTCTTCACTCTTCCTTGCAGATTTGCTCAAGTTCTTTCAAGTCGGACGGGGAACATCAGTGAATTGTAATGCTCAAGTCCTTCCAGAGATTCTCTGGGCTTTGGCTGTACCACTTAGGGATAATCACCTTCTTATTCTGAAGCCACACCAGTCTTGTAACAAATTTAGTTAATCTTGTAACAAATGTAATACCACTTCTTTAATATACTATAGTTTCTACAAATCTGTGTTTAGCTGATTCTCTCATTGGTTCTCCAGAATGTTTCTAGTCTCTATACCTTTGTGTCTAACCTAACCAATTGTGAGCAATTGTGGGCATTATCATTTCCCACTATTATTTATTGGAAAGCACTTGATAAACAATTAATCCCTTGATTTATTACCATAAATAATAAACAGATACAAACTATTCCCTAAACCCATTGCTCCCAGCCAAGGTCCTAGATTAACACTGAGTTTGAGAAGTACTGTTAATTTCAACTGAGCACTAAATCTACTGTGCTAATGACGCAATTTATCTTATTCCTCGTTTAAAGTTTTGATTCTTTGGTCAATTCTGGGTGTCAAAAACATCTTCAGCACACAGAACTTTCCATTGGCTCTCTTCAACTTGCTTTGCTGTTATTTCTGACTGAAAAGCTCTTACTAGTTTATTATCACTATGACTGCATTCCTACAGCATCCCTCAGCTAGTGGTTGCCCTCGGAAACCATCACATTCTCACAAGGGCTCAAAATTTTCCAGGGATGGCTGCACATGCCGTACCTTCCTTCTCTGATCTGTATTAATTAGCAATTCATTATTCAATTCCCGGTTCTCTCTTTTTAAAGCTGCTTCAACGGCACTTTATCACTGTTCTTTTCACTCCCTTTCTACTGTAAGTCTTCCCTTTTACTGCTTTTGCTGCTCTCTGCTTTGTTTCTATTTACTTCACCCTGTTCTGTCTTCACTCGCCTGTTCGCCAGACGCCACAGCACCCTCTCCAGCTGTTCGTCTCAGCCTGGATTCTGCACCCTCCACACCAGGATTCCGCTCCGAAGTCGAATTCCCGTTCTCCCCCAGGACTCTGCAACAGGATTCCATTCCAAGACCAAGACACCCGAGAGTTTTCCCTTTTTCCCCCTGCTCTGAAGCCGAGACTGCCCAAAACCTGTCGACGGGCTGATTCACCAGGGTTGAGGTCTGGATGCTGACCACCCTCACCTTTTTGCTGCTGAAGTAGTCTGCTCTAACTCCATTCCAATTGGATCCTATTCCACTCCAGGATTTTTTCAGTACTGCAGCACCCAGTTCCTGTCGGCACGGTGGTTCAAGACCTCCCCCCTGGATACCTCTTGTCTACTGGCCTCCCTACCCAATTCCAGGAGGCTGCTTTCACCGTCTCTGATTAAGCCCCTCCATCCAGTAATCAATTATTCCATTCTCACTGTTCTGTTTCCAACTCTCTTTCATTCCCTCTCTCCCGGAACATCCAAGCCCTCAGTTGATCAGGAACCCCCGGATGTTCCACCACTCTCCGGTCTCTTGCGCTTGCGTTCTGGCACATCACCATCCTCGCGGCTGTAACCAGCCATGGCATTACAATTAATTGATGAGAAACAGACACGGGTGGGATGAAAATGTATCAGATACTCCCAGAGTGAGTTCTTCCTTCTGCAGAGTTTCAGCTGGTTACGTTACAAATCCCAACTGACCTTTCAATAGCGGAAAACAAATTTACATCCAAATATGTGTAATATGTCCAAAATATTTAATATGGACATATTTAATATGTCCAAAAAAGAAAATATGAAAACAATTTGCCTGTGGTTAAGGAATTCCCTGGAGCACGAAACAGAAGAATCAGCACTTCTCCAGGACCAGGACAGGGTACCTACTGACCTAAAGAATCTTCTTTTGAATGTCAGTTAGGATGTAGGTATTGAAGTGCTATTCAATTGTAATATGTCTTTACAAATGAATTTTACTTCTATAAATTTATTACGTCACAAGTTAAATCAAAACGTCTACATACCCGCTAATCACAGATTACAAGCCCAGTACTTGGTCGGAAACTCTCACTGGATAGATAAGCTTCTGACAACTAAAAAATCAGTATGTAGGTTTTGCTTTTAACTGGGCCTAAATCTGATTTTTATGGAAGTGGTAAAAGGTTGTTTAGAGATACCACTTGAGAAAAGAAGATTTCTCCACACATCTTCCCACACATACATCAGACAGCAGAGGTATTATGTAAAAATGAATCATTCTTAAATGCTTAATTTCCTTTACTCTTGCTTGGTCTCTTATTTTCCATCTTCACTTTCTTCTTCTAAGATGTCTGTATACTGGAGGTTCTGATGATTATGTGTCTTAAATCAGTTAAGACATACTCTTAGATTATATTTTAAAAAAACAAGTAAAACATTGCAAAATTTACCTTTTATGAAACTTTTCATAAAGTTTTCACTTTACTTAAGGATTGTCACTTACTCAAATAGCCTTCAAGTTACTAATGAGCAAACAGAACTGACAAACCTATAGACCTTATACCTTCATTACATTTAGACTTTGTGACTGTAATGTGTTTATCATTCATTCATCAGGTCCTCTGTGCCTAATCATGCTAACACAGATAGTAGCATCTGATTATTTCAGCAGAGCAGCAGGGGTGGGCCTGTTTGGTACTTCAAAGAAAATTCATCTTGCTGCTGAAAATAATGTTGATGAACCTGTAGGGCAGGTATGACTCTTTCCTCTGGAATTTGTCTCCCAAGTTCCAAACTAATGTCTCAGGATCTTATTGTGTTGCAAAGTTAATCGTTAACAGCAAGATCATTGCCCGGGGGTCTTTCATTTAAGAAAAAAATCAAGATAGATTTTGTTTCACTAAGACTGGAAAGTGCTTCCAGCTTGTTCTTTGTGACGACAGGCGATGTGAAAGTTTATGCTGCTGTTAAATATGAATAGGAAAAAGCAAGGAAAATTTCTGAAGAGTGTGTTTAGCTGTACCAACAGGAAACTTCCCAAACAACCACAACAAATTACTCTTAAGCGCATAAGCTCTTCTTAGCACTGATATTTAAAATTATTTCCTGTCATCCACACCATGAAATTCCTAACTGACCCCTTGCATTCCAATTTAGAGATGCTTTTGCAGTATGCTTTCAGTAATGCACCCAGAACCACTTACTGTAGCTCATGTACAACATGAGATTTATAGTCTGTTATGAAACAATTTACAAAATAGTTTTGTAATGTGTCTTTTTTGTAATGTGTCATGGGTTCAATTCACAGAGTCTGACACCTGGGTGTCACCACCCTCTTTGACTTACTAAGCATTTGCTAAAACTGAACAGATTTTGTAACTCTATAAAGTTACTTTGCATACAGTAAGTCACTTGGTTACAGAAAGGATACACAGAACAACTTAATGTCTATGATTACTTTATCGTGTTCCCAGAGCAATTTAACTTTTTCTCATTAAGTAAGGTGATTAGAGCTTGAATATCACAAAAAAGACCAATACTGACTTATTATTCAACTGCTTCTTGAAGACTCACTTAGTTTTAGGTTTACTAATCGAACTGGGCTTTAGAATTACAAAGTCCTACAAATCTCAGTGTAAAGAACCCTAAGATGGTTTTCAGGCCTAAGAACGTCTCCTTTTAATTTAACCTCATTTGTTTCATCTTAAAGTAGCCCTGTGACTCCACCCTAGACTAGGGCAGTACTAAAAGTCTACCCACACGAAAACCACAATATCTTAAAGACCTCAAGTCCAGGATTCTTTATTATAGTTCCTTTCCAGTACAGCACTCAACATCCCCAATTACCAATACAGCCGTGCACACCATTTACACAACAGCTTGATTAGATCCATGTATGGTAAGAATGTGAAATTCTAAACGTTTTACTAATTATCTGACAGTGAATTCGATCACCCCTAGTGTGGCTATTTACAAGTAATTGGCAGCCATAGAGTGGCCTCTAGTGGCAGGTTGACTATAACTGCAGAATCTTCTTAAGCAGGCCTTCCACAGGTCCCTGTTAGGATTTTGGGTCCTATACATTCAAAAAAGAGCAAATATATACAGTGTACCATCCAGTCTAAGGCATTTACTGTAATGTACAGTAATCAAGTAATAACACACAATAATAATGCCTGCTATTACTGTTACAATGTGACATTAAGATGGAAAAGGCTGCATCTGCTTGACAGGGTGAGGAGGATACAAGAAAATACAAGAGATGGCGGAGATATCTGAACAGGATAAATACTGAAAAGGTGTGAGGAAACAGGAAAGCTCGGCTGGGAGATTTCAGGGGCTTCAGCTCAATGGCACTGGTCAGGTACAATGCAGGGCTGAAGGGGCGAATGCAGACAGATGGGAAACCAGCTGGTAACGTTCTTTGGAATCTGGACAGACAAAAGGACTGAATCTGGCATGAAATCCTTCTCTTATATGGGCTGGTTGTGGTGCAAACACCTCTCTCTCGAAGAAGGAAGCTCAATGACAGAGCACCAGACCACAGGCTGATCAAGGTTTAAGTAGGGGCAGGCAGCTGTGACAACCAGCTCAAACAAGTCCTCACAGCCACAGGAGATGTTCGACTCCCTGTGCATGTGGATGGTTACCGTGGAGACCGAAGGCTGTGAGCTCTGGCTTGCACAGACATAACAATTACAAGATACTTATTTTTTTTTTCTAATTAGAAAAAGGGTAAATATGAGAAGAGGAGGGATTTTCTAAATTGTTTCGCACCAGAGCATAATTTGCTTTTCAATTTTCTGAAAGTCTTCATAAAAATTTCAAGATGGAAATCAAGATGGGTCTAAATATGTATGGGGGTGGACAAAAATTAAAATACTTTTGACTCTCTATTTCTATTTTAGAATAAAATTCAGCAACCTTTGAGCTCAGATTCAGATGCTTTGAAAGGTTTGGATGTTCAGGCAAAAAGCAAGAAATCATCAATACTATTATTGCCTGGGAGTTCCTGGTTCAGATCCTGACTGTGCCACATACACACTTTGTGTAAGTTTGTGCAAATCACAGAATCTCCATTTGCTCTATCCCCCAGATGGGACACTGAAGCAGCAGGTGCCCACATCTCAGTGTTCCCACCCAGTTTCTGTAAATTACTTTGGATTTAAAACATGTGTTAATTAATTTCTCTGTATAAATACATTTGCCCCCTTAGGAAACTTTCCTTTAAAACCAACGTGTTTTCATCTCAGGAAAAGAATGTGGTGGAACTATTACTATTCTAAATTTGCATTCAAGCATAAGTAAAGATATTCTCTACAAAACCATTCTCCATTCAAGCTACTTTGCAATATTATAGTTAAAAATATTGCAACATCTGTATATGGCACTGTTTCAGACACAAAGCCCAGGTCACAATTTCATTTTAGCACTTATTTGACCACAAATACAATTCATATCCTTCAGTTCTCAAACTGAGCATGCCACAGTTTTCAAAGAGTCTTTACATGGGAATGTTTTCACTTGTTCTTTTGAGTCTTCTAAAAATATGTTAACTGCACTCATTGTTGCACAGGGTTAAATTGTATTTGAGAACAGACAGTTTGGGATGTAAAATTGCAAATGAAAGGGAGTTTTGTATGACAGACTCACTTGGAGTTATGCTATTTAAGTGTGTGTGTGTACCACATCAGAACATATTAATCCATTCAATTAGGTCAATCGGTCTGCGTGTTATGATATAACTATATAAGTACTGAAACTAATTTCACAACTTTGAACAGAAGTATTATTTTAATACATCAATCATAAAGTTTCTTCAACTTTTGTGGGGTACACATACTGTACCAACACACACAAAATTGTCTCAAAAACTGAGCCATGGTACAAAAAGATTTTGAAATCAGTCACCTAATTGTACAGTACCAGGAAGTTTACATAAGAGGCTGTCTCGGTGACCCTAATATCCCTTAGCTGAGAAATCAGCAATTTAAAGTAGATAAACAACAGAATTTCAGTTAGAATATATCTGTTACATGAAAATGAAGCAAACTAAAGGAAACGCTATACACTGTTAAACACTAAAATATTAAGATGGTGGGTTACAATACAAATATGGTGTAAATTCTGGTATAAAAGGTAACAATGAGAATACATTATAAAAACTAAACTTTATATGACATTCAAAGAAAACAAAAAGAAGTCAGAGAAATTAAACCACTAACATGAAACCATTCATTTAAAAAAAGGGTTGTAATCACTGAAATTATTACTTTGCTTGTATTTGTTAGTGGAGAAATTTAACGGCCGTCTGTTGAGTAAAAAAAAAATAAATGTTAAATAAAAAATAAGTTTAATGATATATCACACTACCTAAACGGTTGGAAATCGAAAACAATGTTTGAGTTGTTGGTATGCTCTGTGTTTCCTTCTTAAGTGAGCCATTTTTATTGATCTGTATTAGAGAACACAGCTGTACTGCGGTGCAGCGCGCCACCTAGCGGATGGACAGGGAAAATGTGGGAGGCGGAGACTCCCACAGGAAAGGCAGTACTTTCCCCCTCCACCGTGCAGCCAACAGGGAAAGAAAAAATGAGCCGGTGAACTAAAAGAGCAGTAAAACACAAGGGTATTTTGGCACTGGGGTTAATAATAGCTGATAATTGGAGCTTACTGGGAGTGAATCAGTAACAGGTAAATAAACACGTTAAATGTAAAAATCATTTCAGCGTTTGTAATTCTACGAAAGCAATTAATCACTATGATTGTAGCTTTTTACTCTGATGCTGTGGTAGGTATTTGTACCGACGCTGTGAAGTGCTACTAGTCTTAACTTTACCTTGTGTTAGGAGCATGGAAACGGTAGCTGGTAAGAAACGCAGACGTTGTTTTTCTTGCAGTAGCGGGAATATTAATATTGATTCAAAAATGGTGAAAGCGATTGCATATCCGATTCTGTTTAATACACGCGTGGATCTGCGCGCTAAAAGCGTAGAGAGAGCCATCGTTTTCTTAAATCAACTTGTCCAATCCAGGTTTGTAGCAAGTGGTCCGTACAAGATGTATCTTAAATAGCTGAGAACTACTTTGTTAAATTAGAATGAAGTGCAATGACAAAAACGGAGAACGCCGAGAAAAGGCTCACGATGGACAGGCACAACGTGATGGCTTCCCTTTCCCGGCTCTGCCTTTGTGAAATACAGGCGAGAGCCAGGACTCCGGAGCATCTTGTCAGAATGTAATTAGATCGCATCACAACGGAATGATCCTGGCTACTGTATACTAGGGAAGGGATTAGTAAAGGAAAGTAATTAATCCGATCGCTTTGGTTTTGAGCTCATGTAGATGGCAGGCCTGAGAAGAATTGAAGATTTTGCTACATCCCGTTAACCCTTGAACTCATTTCAGCACTGCTTACAGGTAGTAACCCTGTCGATCGGGTTTAGTGGTTTGGACTTTTTGGCATGCTTTACATAAAATGGGACTTAAAATGTACATAAAATTGCCTCCCGGCTGTCACTGTTTTGTGAACAGTGGTATATACAATACATTGGTGTGTGAAGGACCTAGTGAACCACTCATTAAATTAGATGCAATCTGCACATATATTTACGAACCTCCTCTGAAGCACACAGGACTGATTGCCTTCATTTAAAAAACTTTAAAGGCAATCATGAAAACCATTTTTACACTTTTGAAAGTAGTTCTGTTTTTTTCCCCCAGTGTATCGCTTTCCTTCAATCGGTTGTAAGGTTTTAAAGTATAAAGGCTGTAAGATTATACATAGCGACGCGCCACTTGAGTCATCCTGAAAAATATTCCTGGAAGCAAAATGTGAGTTGCCGTGAAGTGAGTTGCCGATAGATACTATTTCAGTTAGCTCATGGTGTCAGGTCATTTCTTGTAAGGTCTCCGTCCTTCCGTATTAGAATACGATTTGATACAAATGGATTTGGTTTCACTGAAGTTTTTTTATAGAAATGATTACATTCAGGGCGTGACTTTAAGTTACATTTGCTAAGAAAGTTTTTGGAAAAAGATATCGCCCCCCCCAAAAAAAAAATCATGCCTGTTTTATCTTAAGACGTTTTTCGACATAATGTATCTACAAATATTCTGTTTCTAAGCAGTGTCTTTCGGGTCGTTGCACCTGGAAGACACAAAAACGGTTTCCGGGGGTCCCCTCGGAGATGGGGGTGTCGATTGGTAGTGGCGCTTAAAACTAAGTTGTCGCGCAGGATGGACTTGTTTTTATTTTTGGTTCCTGTTAGTTAGAATGTTTTTTTTTGCGTCTTTTGTTGTTATACTTATCTTGGCTTCAATATGGGAATAATCTTCCAGGCAGCTCTTAGATAAGTCTTTGTTTGAATTTTGTTTTCCAGGTAGTATATGCTGAAGGTGCTGTTCAGTTCCTTGTGTTGCATTCTACGGTAATAAGAGAAAGTAAAATAACTTTCTGTATAACCTCCTTTAAAATATCTGATGCCAACAAGTGGCTAAAAGGACCCAGACGTGTTAAAATGTGTTAAATGCCAGATTAAATCATGATTTTTCTTTTTTTTTTCACTCACCACCAAGAACCACTGGTAATTTGAATTAAATCACATTTTATACGTTTTCAATGCACAATGATGACAAAATTGCCTTCCAAAAGCATTTAGCCATAAATTTATGTATTATAAGTTCATAAATATGTACTATTACATAAGAAATTAAGAGGGTGCAAACTGTTGTCTTAGTCCCTGTAGAAAGAAAAAAGGTTACTCATCCGCTACATTCTGTTTTCATACAAAGAGTTTCCAAACACCACTACTAAAATTAGGTATTATTATAGAGACTGATTTTTTTAAAAGGTTTTGAAACAGGGTATATTAAGAACCTCATACAAGTGTTTACAATTCAGTTATGTCTTATTTCACTATAAAATAGATGTAATGAATTCAGGGTCAGAAATAAAGTGTGTATAAATGTAAGCTATAAAAATCAGGCTGTAGCTGCAGACGTTTCTGTATAAACTTAAACCAGATGCTTTTTATGTGTAGATTGTTATCTGAATTTTGAACAAATTTGCATAAGACTTGAAATTAAGTGCCGTTTATTCAAGAGTTCAGGGGTGTACCATCCTGGCCCTGGAGGGAGTGTGTTTCTGTAGTTTTTCTAGGCTCCTGAAAGAAGCTGTAGCCTAAGGGCTGGGAGAAGCTGTTAAATTGGTCCAGTTAAGACACTAAGCAGCTCATTGAAAGCTGAGTTGGAATGAAAACCTGCAGACACACTGGCCCTCCAGGGCCAGGACCGAACACTGCTTCCATACTTCATAATATCTGAAATGGATCAGACAGGTCTGGTACCCAAGCCTGTATGTTAGTTAGCCATCGGGGAAATGAACACTGCCACCAAAATCACACAATCTGCCACCAGAGTGACGTGAGGGAAACGGGTCTGGAGTAGGCTGGCAGTGAGGTTCTTGAATACATTCTTCAGTTCAGGCCTTTTGGTTTCCTTGACTTGATGGACTGCCGCTCCTCAGAGGAGTAAAGGAACAGGCAGACTGGCAGCAGGTGACCTTGGTGTGTGTTATTCCAGACAGACGGATAGCACCCTGCCATGGACAGCACAAGGCCAGAGCTCCTCTGACTGGCTCTTTTACAGCACAAGTTGTCAGGTCTGGAGCCCGTCCATAGCCAGCCTCTGCGATTAGCCTGATTTTGTCTGATTAAATCCAAATTATACTAATTAAGTCATGTACACCTGTTATGTTATTAACACTAACACTGTAAGAGCCTAAGAAATTGGAATACAGCAGGTTTGTTACAGTTTGTTTCAGTTGTAGTTTTGCTCACATTTTCATAAAAGACCAAGTGCAAGCTATAATGCATAGTTATAGAGGCAGTGAGGAAAATAAAGCAGAAGCGTCTTGTACAGTCTGCCTTTTATTTTCTCTCTATGCAGTTTGTGAACAATAAAAGGAGAAATTAACTGAGCAGTCTTCAGCCATACTTTTCAGACCAAGCAGAGATCGTTTTTCCTCTGGGTGGTCTCCTGCAAAGCACAGTGAGAAGCCAGGATGTTTCATTTCCTAATTTCTTCTCAGTGCTTCCTTGTTGCTTAAGCTTAAAAGTGTCAAACACCACTCCAAATGGAGTTCTGTACCGATACAAGGTCCAGTCTCTACTGGAAATGATCTGATGGTACCTGAATACCAGCATTTTTGCAGAGAGCAGTCTGTAAAAGGGAAACCAGGTTAATAGGACCCTATGCTCTAATGACTGTCTTACAGCAATGCTGCACTCTGACATATTTCTCCCACCTTGTCACCCTGCACGTAGCTCTCACAAGGCCCTGCAGAAGGGACTGTTAGGATTGGTGTTTGACACTTTTAAGCTTGAGCAACAAGAAAGTACTGCAAAAAAATTAGGAAATGAAACAATGTGAAGGAAAACTACAATTAAAACAGGGAACAGGACCTACTGCTGCCTACCGTTGCAAAGCGGAGCTTTACTTCGGGATGATTACTGAGGTAAAACATCAGGAACATAATGTCTGAAATCAGTAAAGTAATATATGTCACTGAAGTAACTGGCATTACAAACTGATAGGTTACATAATAATAAATGTATTGCATTGTCTGAGTGATCGGACTGACAAAAAATAACATTGATGGCTTGTGGTATGTGGAATTGCATTTGCTCAACTTAAATTTTCATTGCATTACACTGTCATCCACAGTTCTTGTGATGAAGTGTACACAGTAATTGGAGCCAAACGTCTTTGGTTATAGCTCAAACTAAAGGCTTTAGAGTAATTTAGTAACTGAGCATATAAAAGTTCTTAAGCTTAAGCTTTGTTTTAAAGAATGGACAAGAATTATTTTACAGTCATCCTGTCCTTCAGGAACAGAGATTCTTTTCAGTTATCTGGCATGGGAGGGGAATGCTGCGCATTTTACCCGTGCGATGCAGCTAATATTTGTAATGAATCAATTTGTGCCATTAGTTTGCCGTTATTTTTATTTTTCTTGTTTTGAAAGTGCTTGCTAGGCTTTTGTGTTGAGTTTGTTTTAAACAGGGACCTTTGCCTCAATTAAAGAGTGTTTATCATGTGATGAGGAATCTCTCTTTGCATAGTAATCTGTAGCTCCCTTTCTCTCTGAATCAGCGACAAGCTCGTGTTTCCTTCCATTGCCAGAACCGAATGACAATAAGAACACAGATTTCCTCTGAAATGGGAAAAAGCCCAGAAAGAAAGTTTAGTCTACCTAAGTTTGACAGCGTAGTTGCTGTTCTTAAGTGTGAATGCAAGTCTGTATGATTTAATTTGTGTCCTTTCATCAGCCTTTGTGGTTTTCATTTCATATGTTGATTGAATTTTATTTCTTTTTGTGAAGTCCTCTGTGTAATCTTTGCTGAATATCTTCTGCAGTAGTGTATGTAAAAAAAAAACACACTTATCTTAATCCAAGCTGTTTTTTTTCTACAAAACTGGGAACCACACCACCAACTACAAAAGCTCTCTTTTGTGTCTGTGAGATAAATAATTTCTAATTAAAGCAGTTAAAGGCATTATATAATAGACTTTGAGGAGTCCAACAATAGTGAGATGCTTGTAATTTTCAGGGTGGAATAGTGTGGGTTGAGACTGATTGCAGTTCAGATGATCTCTTTATTAAGGTCGAAATGTTGCTTAGGAACTGTATGAAAGAGGGGTGATTATTGATTTGGCTGGGGAAAACCAGGCCAGGGTTTACTCCTGCTTTACCCACTAGGAGAATAGGGCTAGAGTTACTACTGCTGCAGTAAATTTAAAAAGATCACCATTTAGAGGCAGCTTTTAGGGAAAGCAACAATGCCTAAACACATACAGTGCTAGCAAGGTTTTTAGAAATGGGTTTGCTCGTTTTTTTTTCCATTCAATATTTCTACTTAGCGGAATTAAAAGTCGTAATGTTCTTCAGCCCCAAGTTATGCTGCGTACCTATCGTCATATCCCTGTGTAAGTCACTGGATCACTGCTCCTTCTTTCCCAGTACGTCTTGCTTTCTTTCTGCCAAGCTCATCACTGGCCCTGCACGAGCATTCGCAGTTGCTTCTGGTGGTAGGGAGAGGAAACCTGATTTCCTTGTCCTAAGCAGGGCCACACAAAGATGCTGCCCACACGCATCATCTTGAATGGCAAATTTAACTGGGTTACCGTGTTCACCTGCAGTGTTTCTTCAAGAGCACTTGATAGGCCTGTAAATGGAATACAAGTTTATTTTTAGAGATGTTTGTAATGCATCCATTCAGTTGTGAGATGCAAATGTTATACTGGATTCAGTAACTTATTTTTTTTGCTTGTATTTTACCTTTGAGGAATACCTGGGAGGTTTTGTCTTCATTTTAGGAGTACCTCCCCACCTAATCAATGCCTGTTGTGAGCCAGTCATTCAGATTAAGGACATGAGATATTTTCCTTGCATTTTGAGATCACAAATTGTAGAATTGCAGACAAATAATGGTTTCAATGTGTGCCCTAATGAATTGATCCAAATAGAAACATTAAGGATTTATTATTGCTTTTGCGTCACACGGTTTTTAAAATGCCTCGCTGCCTTAAAGGCAGATAGGCGTTACCAGTTGCAATTTTGGTTTGATAACTGACTCACTTATAAAGGTGCGTTCAGCGACCAAGAACTGGTTTTTGAGACCTCGTCAGCTCAAGGGTTAATTGACTTGATGACAATGATTGCGTGTTAGGAATGTCCTGGACTGCAGAGGCCCAGACGTCAGGGGAAGGTGGAGCCCCTTCTTGTGAAGTGATGACTCAACAACATTGTTGACTCTTGAATGGAAAATAGGGAACCTGTCCTGGCTCACCTGCGATCTGTGTTTTGTTTCTTGGTCTGCAGTAAGCACTGAGCAGACTTAACACGTTAGTGGCATTGTGACAGCTGACCATGGGGGACATGGCCTGGTCAACCAGTGCTAACTCCATCTTTCGTTCAGGGAATCTGCCTGGGCTGACTGGTTGGGTGTGAGCCTGTCCAAGCCCATCCTGCCAAGCCGCAGTGTCCTGAATAATGTTGTCTCTGGCTGTTTCCTGGCAGGATGACGAGTGAGGCTGGCAACTCCCTGAGGAGCCGCAGGGTCCCGACCAAGGTGCCCGGCAGTGTGGAGATGGATGGCGCAGTGAGAGGACCAGAAGGAGAGCACCGAATAACCAGCAACGGTGAGAATCCCCCCTCCTCACCTTCCATAGAGTGACACTCCACAGAACCAGTCCTGGGGACTCCATAAACACCCAGGCTTTCATTTAGTTTTTGTCCCTCAAAATTCAGGTAACTTCTTCTCACATCTGAGAATTTTAACTAGGTAAGAATGCTTTTTTGGTGTGCATTGGCCCTGGTTGGATTAAAATTCTGTCTGGCTAGACTTGGATTCCAGTATTAAAATCTGTAAGACTGCTCACTGAATTTCTAAACCTTATGAACCCTATAGAAGAGGGTGGAGGGAAGAGAGGGAAGTGACAAATTTCTTATTTACAGAATGGCCGAGGTTGACAGAAGGCGGCTAGGTCTTAATAAAAGCCTGTTAAAGGTGCGAAGATGGAACTGCATGTGTTCTACCAGGGGATCAGTCACACCCCATTCTCTCATTACTTTCCTGTTATTTCTTATCATATGGCTTCAGATTTCTTCTTCTCTTACTGTATTTACCTCATTCATTTCTCAGGGGAAGAAAATGAATTTCTGTTAAATCCTTGGACGGCTACTCTGTCATGTGCAACACTGATTTAATTCCCTTTGGTTCATCCTGACACTGTTTTGTTAAAGATGGTGTTTAAGTGTGTGGATAGAACTCCCCTCAAAACTGCTGATGATAACAGTTTCCTATCAGGTCTGTTATGGAACGGGGCCTCTTCCCTCCAAGATTAGACCGATTCCATTCATTCCAAATTGTTTTAAAGTCATAAACTGCAGTTTGGTAGTGTAGTTCAAATAGTGACGTCCTCCTCAGTCTCTCTGGGTTTGTCTTTAACACTACGTTCCCAGTGGAATGCCTTGAAGCTTTATAAGACTTTTTTCATAAGACTTTTCAAAATGTGCTTGTATAGAATTTGTCACAAGAGAAACTAGTCAAACATGTAGTGAAACCTGCCTGTAGGTATGGTGCAACCCAGAGTTGCAATTTCATGGTGTTTGTATTTGTAACAGAAATGTTATCCTGTGTATCACCACTTGAAAGTAAATGTAACCCTGGCCCTTTCCCAGAACCCTCTGGCTTATGCTTTGTGCCCAAGGTCAGTGTACATGGAGTTGAATATTTCACAAGAAACAAATATTGTGGTCCTGTAATGTTGTCCTTAAGGAAGCTGGCCCTGTAGGATGCACAGAGAAACCTGTCCAGTCTGTCAATACTCTTCCCAATATTTGTTGACTTAAGAGTTTGGATTTCACAATCAGGTAACCTCTCCCTGTATTTGGGTTGGGCTTAGTCAGAGATTTATGTGAATGAGTGTTAGACTCGGGTTGCAATGCTGGCTTGTCTCTCCAAGCAACTCTCCCCACAATTGGAGTGGGTGTGCTGGCTTTTCAGACTTAATCTGTGGCTTTGAGGTCTGTTAACCTGTGCACTAAACCTGTTGCTTGCTGTCTGGCTATCACATTGCATAACAGACCAAATCAGAAGCATGTTTTTTGGTTATTACTGATCACACGATTATTGGCTTGTATCACTGCTTCACATCTGTTAGTTGTTAGAATGCGAGTGACAATTGGCACCTTGTGCAGAAGGAGTGAAGAATGTTGGACGTTTCTGTTTTGGTGGATTATTCCACTTGTAAAAGCCCATCAGGAGAGGTTGTTGAGCTCGGAGGGGAGGCAGTTTCTTCCTGCAAGTAGATACATCTGGGAGTGGGAGCAAAGGAGTGAAGTTCACAAGGTCAAAAGCAGCATTGTGATCTCTGACCCTGTGACTCTGGCTTCTTCTGGCTTCCTTTGTTAGCGCTGATAGCACATAGAAAACAATGTACCCATGACAAAGGAGTCGGCTGATTCCTCCTGAGTCACAATACCAGCAAGCTGAAGAGAGGTTTTATTTTTTCAATACTATTGTGCAACTCCAGGCCACTGACATCTTCCCGATGAAGAAAGGAACTTGTCAGAAGGTTGCGTAAGTCACAGTCTGTCCCACACTCTGCAGCGTTTTAAATGTTCATGACTTCTGCTCCCTCTTTTTTTCTTGGCCCTATGTGTCAAGTAACAGACAAACTCTACTCCAGGCTGTTGTAAGAATTTGCTTTAAATAATGAAGCACTCCAACTCTCTCGGTTTACCTGAAGGGGCTGAGTAATAGCTTCATTAAAGTGTTTCGGTAGAAATGGTAAAGGCTGGGGTCTCTTTAAATTGCTGCTTTTTTATGTTTTTCATTCGCAGGCTCTTCCTGGGTTTTCTGTTTGTTGTATGAAAGGTCTTTATGTAGTACTCCTGAAACAAGAATAATTAGCTCTGGAATAATATAGTGGGTGGCATGGTGGAGCAGTGGTTAGCATTGTTGCCTCACAGAAATGGAGCCCTGGTTTCAGTGCAAGACTTGGAATGCTACCTGCATGAAGTTTGTATGTTCTCACTGTGTTGGTGTAGGTCTCCTCAAGGTGCTCCGTTTTCCTCCCACAATCCAAAGACATAAAGGTAGCTTAATTGGCTTCTAGGATAACTGACCCTGGTGTGTGTATGTGTGTGTTTTGGTGTCTGTGTGTGTGCACTGTAATAGACTGGCATCCCATTAAATGTGTATCCTGCCTTCTGCCTGTTGTCTCTGGGTCACCTGCAACTATTTTACTGGATAAAGTGGTTAGAAAAGGGATAGATGAATTATAATATAATGTATATCAGAGTTCTGAACGCATTTTGAAATAAAGGTTTTAAGATAAAGTAGGACAATTGAAAACATTGTTCCATGTGTGTGATGGACTGATGTGCAGGGTATAGTGTGGATTTTGGGGACATACTCAGAGATGCCATGATCCTTAACGGCCATAAGTGTTCTGATAAGCCACAGATGAAAACATTAAAGTTTGTTTTTTATAAGACAGTAAAATACTTACAAATGGCAGACCTTAGAAATAGGAATGAAATCCCTACGTTACCATCAGAAAGCACACAAATGGAATTGTGGCAGCTCATTATTTACCTGGAGCCCTGGGGGGCAGGAGTCATCGAATTTTTTTAAATGCCAAGGCACAACATCAAAGTTTTTATGGTAGTTTATTTTTGGACATTTGTTTTAATCTTTATAATGTGAACTTCATCTAAAATTTCCCTAAGAAAAGACTTAAAAGACTTAAACCCAGGAGTTTTTGTAATTGGCCTATCTAGTTTCATTAGAAAAGGTTAAACCACTGTTTATTTTGTCTTTTTTTTGTGGCAGTTTTTGAATCGGTTCCTCAGGTTATTGCTTTTGTCTTTATGATCTAAAGGTTAATTCTGCACGTGTCTCTTTTTGATAAGGCAGTATTTATTTTCTACATCATTTTGTTTTTGTAAATGTGTGGGAAATCTGCCTCCACTAGAAACACAGTGGCGTTTTTCTTGTTTTCCCAGTCACTGAGGGACAGTGTCAGTACAGTTAAATTTTGTGTTTTTAGGGCCTTTTGTAGATTTTTGTATTCAGCAAAAAATTTAAAAATATAAAGGTTGGAGTACTGAAAAATGCGCAAGTGCTTTAACATCTACAAAAACGGAGCTGAAGAAGCCTCCACAGCTGAAACGTTGTCTCTTGTCATTTCTTTCAGCAGTGAATAAATCCCTTTTACCTGTTCCTACACATCTCTTCAGCTTGTTTAATGCAAAGTAAATGTTGTACAGGACCTGTTTAATGAAAAATGAAATATTGTTTGTAAAACCTTTATGATATGCTTTTGCCAGATTGGACTGTGACCACCCGAAAATGTAAATTGGCTTATTGGTTTCCGGATAATTCCTGAAAAATATCCTCCAGGGTTTTTATGAATGGAGCCTCTGCCTGCTCTGTAATTTTCACAGTCATACTCTAACGAGCTGACCTTGACGATGGGGTGAGAGGAGGCCTCAAGGCTGAGGAAATTTCCACTTCCTCCTGACTGGCAACACTCCATTCGTAGGCTGTTATAAGCTTTGGCACCTCTGTGGGTTATTGTTTCATTCAGCACACTCCCACAATGCAACAAAGGTGCTGTCCAAGTGAGCCACACTGAGACCTCAGCTGTACTTGCATCTGTTAGTGTCAGGGTTGCCAAAAAAGCAGATTTAAGTTTTAGCTCACTCTATGACCTGTTTGTCCTCACCTACCCAGAATTTCTCCCCTTTTAATTTTCTGTAGGATGGGCTCTTCCATGGCTTGAGCAGTATAGGTGCTCAATTCAGTGTCCATGCCATGTCTGTGAGTACTGCCCAGGATAGACTGGATCATGGCTGTCTTTTCTTAGACATGTGCAGGTTTGAAATCAGAGAGGCAGGTAGCCCCTCTGTGCTGTACTCGGACACTTTGGTTCTTACAGTGTGCCAGAAGATGAATATCTGTGTGGGTTTGTCAGAATAATATCGGCCCACCCTCATTTTACCCCTGTACTATGGGGGCAGAGATGTAAACACAACAGCTGGAGATTACAAATCGAGTGGGTGAAAAGCAAAATAAGTGCCAAAAAAATCTGAAAAAAAAGATTGACACTTTTTGACTCCCGCCACTCAATTTGTAAATTAATTGTTGATGTTAATTGCCTTGGCCCACTCCTATCATTCTCCTGCCTGTGGAGGAGATATACAAAGACATGGGAAAACTCCCTGGCAGGCTGTCCCCTTTGTTTCCCACTAAGATGCTCTAGAGGCAGTCTGTCAGATTTAACATTTTTCTCATAAATCTAGCGAGACTATTAGCTATGACCATTAGCTATGACCCAGTACATTTATGAATAACCCACTATAGTCTCGTCATGTATTGCCAAGGTTTTAAAGGATGAGTGGACACAAGCAAACCAATGCTACTTTGTGCACCCGGGTTAAAATTGTTAACCCAGGTAGGACTATTTTATGATGAATACAGATATAGATTCTGTTGCAAAAAAGAATGCTGTGCTTCTGTTTTTGAAATGTGGGCTAAACGGTAAAGAGGTTTGATGTTAAGGTGTTATGCCAGAAAATGGCAGCAGAATCGGAGACGATTTTGGCTGCAGTTTAAGTAGCAGTGGGGAGCCATGGTTAGGGTGCTGGACCTGTAACTGTACCCACATCCTGCCAATGGACACTGGTTGGACTAGGCTGGACAGTGCTGTTGTATGCTTGTGCAAGGTATTTTACTTGGTTTGCTGTAGTAAGTAGCATGCTCAGCTGTATTAAAAGATAAAAACATGTAAGCTGATTGGGATAAAAGCTAACTGGCTTAATAATCACAACAGTTGTGAACCAGAAGTCCTGTTTCAGCCACAGTTTATGGAGATATTGTGTTTCTTTGTAAAGGTTTGGTGAGGAAAGGGTTAAGACAATGAAGTTAATGCACGTAATGGGACAAATTGATTCTGTGAACATGTTTCATAAGCTGTGGATTTTTACATTGCAAAAACACGCTAAACCATGATACTGTGCTGCTTCAAGCCTGCTGTTAGTTGTGCGGCATTTTTGTGTGAATGACTGTTTGAGAAGAAAGGGAGTGTTTCTTATTGACAGTGTACGTGTCAGTTAACAGTTTTTTTTAAACTAGTTGTATTAAACAAAACTGGGGGTAACGCAATCATTTGCCTTTTGTTAAAGTGAATTATCTACAGAATGTAAGGACTGGCCCAGGTTGCGAAGCTTGAGGCAGAAATAGAACTGACTTAGAAATAGTTATTTATACTGTAAATGCAACACCTTGGCCACCCAGATTTTGTCTTTGTTCCAGATTGGTGCCGTAAATGGAAAGTGATTGTTTGCCTACTTCCTGGGCAAACATTAGGCCTCCTGTTTGTTGCATAGCAACAGCCTCAAGTTTAGAAAAAAGTCATCAGAATCCAGTACTTCATGTGTGGGGCCTTCGGATTACCTGAAGGGTGTTTCCCAGATCTCAGTTCTTAGCAGGTTCTTTTAATTGGAAAACAGAAGCTAAATATCACTGCCTTTACAACTCTTCCTTGTAAAGGACATTACTAGTTTTGTAAGAGTATATTATTATTCACAGTTTTATAGTACCCAGTCTTGGAATATTCATTTCCCTCTAGCACTGTACTTCCCACTTAGTTTTTTATATTTTCTGCATCAAGGCATGTCTTTTTTCATTCCCCAGTAGTATTTATTTAAAGATTTTGGTTGGCAGTGTGAGGTCCTGATTTGAAAAAAAAAAACAAGAATGCCTCAATTCATTCTTAGCAAAGTGTTTCTATAACCAGGTAAGTTTGGGAATATTGTGGTATTTATGGCAATCTGCATTTCCTTCATTCACCATGGACAAATAAGATAAACATTACACATGCCAACGGAAGGTAGTTAACATTTCCTTTATAAAGCAAATTGTTCCTGGAACAGTTTGTATTTTAGTTTTATTATGAGTTTAATGACATTCTTCATCTTGTTTGTGAAATTGTTACTCATTCAGGTTGAGAACAGGTTGAGTTTTAAAATGTTGTTTATCGTCACTACTAAACAATGTATCTGTTTATTCCCTTTTACATTCTGAATTACAATTTACAGAGATGTAATTCAGCTACAGGTGAAAAGGTTTTGTTTAATTTTAAAATCAAACTTAAAAGCTGTAGACTTGTGCCCCAGGTATTTGTTTCTTGAAGTCATACACACAGGACACCCGCTTATATTGCAAATGTGCTGTGCTTACACAGAACCTGCAAGATAGTTACACTGAAACTCATTTATATTACAACTCCATGCTGGAATCGGCAGTACTGGAATATTACCCTTTGGTCTCGGTCTGGGTTGTTTCAAAGCTTTCACAACTAGTGATTCAAATGGAGGTAGTAAAAAATTAAAACACCACCACCAAAAGAAAATGTGAGTTTTTTTTTCAAATGAATTTTGCCATGAGAAATCTGAGCTTCCATTTACCCGCCTTTTTCCACACAGTTTCCACTGATCACAAATGAGTACAACAGCGAAGTCTGCCTAAAGAACAGCAAAGGTCACTCTTTCAGGCTGTTAGCTTGTGTATTGGTGCTTTCCTCAGCGAATGTCTGAAATCATTCAGGAATGACTCTGGTCACGTTGTGCCTTTCTCTTTTTTATTCTATGGTCCTACAGCTGCTGTTTCCACTTGGAAATTAAGATTTGTCAATGTTTCTGTCACCAGTCGTGTAAAAATAAGATCACCAAGAGGAGTGCAGCCATGGCCCCACTTAGGATTGTGAACTGCATAAATGAATTTATAGGAGGTTGTTTTTATTCTGAATGCAATAGAGTGCTGAGCTGCAGTAGAGTGCTGTTTACTCTCCCACACAGATATCTTTAATCAGCTCAGTTCAGTACAATCTAATTTCAGCTGTACTGCCCCCTTTCCTCCTCAACATGACAAGTCATTTTCACGTCTTAGCTTGGTTCATGATATAATAATAAGTAACATTTGTGAATTTATACCACTACTGGTACCACTACCACTACAGCAAGAATGCGGTCAACACAACTTACCAGGGCCTCTCATTTCTCTGTCCCACACTTAAATTCGGAACGTTTTTCTTCTAGGAAAAATGGACGTGGAGCGTATCATAACCAAGAAGCTACAGCTCAAGATGAAAGCAGAGGTAAAGACCTAAAAGCACCTTTTCTTTTCCTGCAGTAATAGTTTTTATGCATGTACAAAAGTAAGCCTACAGACCACCCAGGCTCTTTCACGCCTTTAATGACCTAGCCTCCTTGTTAAAGCTTTAGTTGGTCTAAATTTCAAGTGGAGAGCAGTGTCAGCATACGTTTGCTGAAAAGGAACAAGTAACGGATAACTTCACTCTGAAAACAAAAGCAGGAAGAAGAAATGGCACTTCTTTACAGTTTTTGTCTCTTATTTCTGCTTTATTTTACATTGTGGAATTAACCTTTCCTTGTTCCTTTGGAGCCAACGCACACTGACGCAGCTCTTTACCTGACTTAAATTTTTCTTGTTTTTATCCTACCCTTTTGTTTCTTTTTTTGTTGCCTTCCCTTATAAATTCAACCAGAACTATAAGTAAAATGGAGCCACAATTTCCATACACAGGTAGTCTCCTCATTCTCTAGCACAAATCTGAAAGCTGTAGAACTCCAGAGGCCCTGGCACCTACCCCAAGGTTAAGCCCGGGAGTTGCAGTCACAGCCAGAGTCTTCAACCCTGGCCCTAGGAAATGGCCCTGTTGTCTTTTCAAGTGAGCTTTCAGTTAGTCAACTGACAGTGTACCTGAATGAAAGAGCTGAAGCACACTTTTGTTAATTGCCCTCGGCTAAAAACTAATCGCACAAAGGGTTGTTTGAGAAAATGAGTGCGTGGGTAAATCGGCTAGCTGGTCAGCTGGGATATGTTCAATCGTGAAGGCCCTGTGGTCAGCCCAGTCCAGTGTTAATACCCCTGTAGAGAACTGCTGCTCTACACCACTCTATGATCTCTCTGTCTATGAGTCGCTTTAAAAGAAGAAGCTGTTGAAGTATCCTGGACATGTATAGTAAACAGGACACATGTTTGTACTGTAGCAAACCTTTGAGTGCTGTTAATGGCTGTGCAGTGCTATCTGGGTTTTTGTACCGCACTCAGATAAGTACAGGGATGACAGATGGTAAGCAGACTTCAGAAACAGCACTCCCCTGTGGACTTGTATGTCCCAGGATACAAGTGGTTGGTAAAACGATCAACCTAATTAGAAAATGGGAGTTACTTCCTCATCAGCTTTTCTCTAGGAAACAGAGTTGGTGTCTTCTTTTAGACCTTCCCAAAAGTCTGCCACACAGTGCATGTGGTTCCCTTTTTTACTGTCTGTAGCTGATCTTTGCTACAGCATTTTTAGTTTAGTTTACACGGAGATCAAATCTATCTTGGTCTTTGGGTGAATCAAAATATGGGTGGGTCTCCCATAGCAGATGGGTCCATTTCTGATTTTACAGGGTGGTTTTACATGTGACTAACAGACCAGCAGCCTGTGTTTCTTGAAGTTAGTATGAGCAGATCTTCGCTGTTTTGCGCACTGCTTATAGAGACCTGCTGTTGGCTTAGTGTGGCTCTTGATGACTGTACTATGCCCACCAAGTCACAAACAACCTGGCATCAGCATTTCTTCTGCAGTTCATGACTTGTTCACATCCTAGATAGAAAAACACAAGGTGAATAATTTTCTAACAGAAAATAACATTGAACTATTAACTAAGCATAAGCAATGAGTAAACCCACCCCTTGTTTCTCAGGACATTATAGAATGGAGACATTGAAGTCAAGACATTTTATATTGCTGTATGGTTTAAATTTGCAATATGCTTTTAAAAAAAATGTTCAAACAGATTTGTGTTTTAGAAATACCATCCCATCACACATTCCATAATCTGATCCTCCCTCATATCATAGAGATCACAGAGTGCTCATCCTGCAGTCTGTGTGGGTCCTAATGCCCCATTATAGTGCATTAAACTCCCCAGGTTGATTCTCGAAAAGAGTAGGGGTGTTATCCCAGTGTCCTGGCCAAAATTTCCCCCTGGCCTTTACCAGTCATGGCCTCCTAGTAATCTCCATCTATGAATTGGCTTCATTAGTCTGTTCTCCTCCCCACTGAAAGCACTTTGGTTTTGGAGGGGAGCCCCGGTTTTCTGGAGTGTCCAGAAAAGTGCTTTATAACTGTAATGAATTATTATAATTATTATTAAATAGCTGCTAAATGCCGCCCTTGAACACCTTCTCCAGTTGTCAATGTAATCAGTTAGTTTTGTACACAGGCGATGTTGAGAAACCAGTTGCTGAGATGCTAATACGGTTGCTTCAAAAGCAGAATTGCTTTCATACCATTAAACAACACTAACAGCTCAAACAGTGTCACAACCTGCTGTTCAGGGTAATGAAGGAGATTTGCAAAGACTATATGTGATAATAGGAAATAACAACTCAGGTCTGCATGATCAGTAGTCTAGCGTAAGAGATCAACGTATTGAAAGGCTATGCCATTTACTACTAAATTTGACACAAAGTGGTCATTATGAGTAGTGCAAAGACCAGGACCGCTCACCTTGTATGTATATATATGCTTCTGTTGCCTTCACTAGGCATGTCTGTTAAGAAAACAGTTTTTCTTGGGTAAAGAAGTAAGCATACATTTTTAGCCACACATATATTTATTTCTGGGTTACACCTGGCACTGTAAAATACTGCTTCTGTATACACTATAAAAATTGTAGTTTGAAGGATTTCATTGGTAAATCTTTCCAACCAAACCAATCCTTTAATTATTCTAATTCCCTGTGTGCAGAAACACTTATTTAGCCAACAGTTTCTCAGACGTACATGAACACTCTCAGAAATGTCAGACATCATTGCCTGAGGATGATCAAGGAGAAATGTGCATTATCGAACATTTAATTTAAACTGTTTATGTATTAAACATATTGATATCCCTAAATAACCATTATCTGCTGCCTGTTGTTTGATCTTCATCTTCTACTTCTTCCTGTCAGATGGTTCATGATGGCATTCTTGCCTTTACACAAAGAATATACAGAAAATTGCATGTAGAAGATATAGATTTGGTTTACAAAATGCACACAAATATGAAAACCCCCTCAGAAAAGATTGTACCCTTCAGTATGACCAGATAGCCAGACTGGGGTTAGGACCAGATTTCTGCCAATCAGCTGCATTTTAGAAACCCAGTGAAGGTGTTTGATTAAGAGTCTTCTTCCTCCTACAAAACAGAAACCTGCACCTGAGATCGGGGTTTTACAGACAGCAGGTGGGTCAATCCAGGTTAAAGTTCAGGGAGTTCTCTGATGGAGTGTGTTTTAGTGCACTTACATACAGTATGTGTGCTAGTTTTCCAGCAATTATTAAGTGTAAGCAAAAGTGTGGTAAAGTGATAGATGGAATGTATATTGGTTCAGTGTTGAGAACTATATTTTGTGTTTAGCACAACAAAAGACTGCATTTCACAAGGAGCTTTGAAGCTGGCGAACGACTCATTATGGAGAGTTAGCAAGGTAAACCTGAGAGCACGAGGCAGTGTGTGTGTGTAAAACAAAGTATTGTGGGTGGTTGGGTCTTTGTCTTTTGTAAGCCCTGTGCCTTGTGTTTGCCACAGAGCAAGCAAAGGAAAGACAAACTTGTGTAAAGAACTCAAGAGCAAAAAGAACTGAACACAAAAAGAAAACACCTGTTTTCTTAGAAGAAAAGAATTTAGTTTGTCATTGCTTGAGTATCAGGAAGAGGTTTAGCCCTCTGATGTTTAAATTTGACCTGGGAGAGAAGTGTAAGTAGCTGAAATGGGAGCTGGGATTGGTTTCATTTGTTTTGATTGTGTGAAATGGACGGTGTAAACAGTATCTTCATAGCACACTTGTCTTAAAGAAACACTGGATCACCAGAATTTGGAGAGCTTCTCTCTGTGGAATTCCTTGTTTCTTTGTTTTAGGATACTGTATAATCTCCAAGATGCTGGGAAAAACAGACTCTTGCTTTCTTCTTTTACCACACATGTGACAACATCCTACTATGGACCTAGGCCCAAAGTGTGCTGCTGGAGCCCACTAATTGACTGCACACCACTTCCTCTTCTTAAACTGAGTGATGCAGCTGACACGTTTAATCTGTTAAATGCATCCCAGACCTTGTTGTCGTTAACCAAATAGCTCCCTGCCCTGTGAATTGTCACAGAAATTTGAGTGCTTCTAAAACCAGGTTACCTCATTATTGAGGCACGTCTTTGAGCCTCTCCAGAGATAAATATCCTCTAATCCTCTGTGAATGCAATCTTACCAGTGATATTGAACTTGTGATTACAAGATGCTTTTGTTTGGCCTGTTTGTTTAGAAATCACTCATTCTTTGTGCTCTTAAGTCCATAGCTACTTAGGAATAAGGAATAATGCATAGAAGAGACGAGCCATTATCTAAAGTACCTTTCTAGTTTATTTCCAGCTCCTATTTTTCCCCGCTCTGAAAAGTACAGTTAATGTTTATTGATTATTATAAATAATTAAAAAGGTGTCAATCCAAAAGAGAAAGGTTTTTATTTTTGCTGCTTGGTTTAATGGGTGCCCTCTGATAGAAATGGTGTATAAGCAGTGATGTGGATGGATTTTCCGAAGATAGTTTTGTAGAATAGGCGTGTTTGTCCTAATTATAGTTTCTGAGTGCAGTAAGTGGTATTCACTCTTGCTAATGTGCTGTGTTTAGTGTTAATAACATACAGATAGTCATCTTTCATTATGTTGTACATGTTGGGCTAGGTTAAGTATATAATATCAGTAACACTGGTATTTAAGATCAACATTTCTTGCTGCGCTGCTTGGCGGTAGGGTTGTGGTCAGCCCAGCTTGACATCATTCTTGTGATGTCTGATGGAAAGCTGAGACTTGAGGATGAAGTGGACATGGTGCTCTGATTCTGAGGCTGCAAGTCTCCATTTGCTGAGGAAGAGCACTGAGTTTCACATTTCAGCATTCAGAGCGGCTTCTAGGCAGAAGCTGCCTGATGTCGCATTTCTAGTGTAAACTGCCTATGGGACACTTACCTTCTGCCACAAATACACTTCTGAAAACCCTTTGCCTTTTCCTGGATTGCATTTGTCTGGGACATTCTGAGTAGAATATCAGGCATGAAGTCCTCAATTCTGAGCCTGAAAAAGTAAAGCACGCTCACCTCCTAGATTAGAACTGTATTTCTTAACAAGGCCTTTTTTGGATCCTTCATTAGGCATTAAGGGCAAGCGAAAATGATATTTTGGTAAACCTGACAAATTTATTAATCCCTGCTATGAAAGTTCAAATTAATAAATGCACAGAATAGTAATTTGTATTGAATTTGCATTGAATAATTTGATGTGAGTAATATAGATTTCTCAGCGGTTGTTGGCCTTCAGTGCATACAGTGATTTATTGTATTAGGTACAGTAAAAGGAAGAGAATACTGTAGCAGCTGCCATGGAGTGACTATGGTATACATAGCACTTGCCATCCAGTGCACATGGAAAAACTCTTGTAGCAACTCAAGGAAACAGGTAAAAGTGTGGCTTTCATTATGTTCCATCAGTTGTAGTACACTCATTGGACTTCATTGTGTTTTTGTGGGCTTGTGTTTTATCTGTTCTCAAAAATATCATATTGCCAAAAATGGCTAAATGAAAATTGTCTTTCAAGTCAAAAGTGTGATCCCCTTATCAGCCTGACCAGGATTCCAAGAGTAGCAGTAGCCTTCTTGCTCGGGTGTTGTAGACAAAAGAGAAGTGAGAAAGGACAACCAGTCAGAAGAAAGCTTTTCTTGTTTTTTTGCTGTCCCCCTGAAGGTCACATGAAGGTCAGGTTTTTTTAGTTGAAAGCCCTCCTTCTTTTTCACCCTTTTTTTGTACTTGGCACAGCCAGACAGTAAAGCCAAAAGAGGAAACAGCATTCACATCACAAGGCAGTGAGACTGTACAGCGTGTTTCTTACTTTCTTGCTTTTAGTTTGCAGACACATTTTGAGCTTTTTGGTCGTTTTCTCTAAATTAGGACTTGGTGTACTTTTGCCCAGCAGCATTAAAAGGCTGGGGGAGTTTTTGTTCTCTGTAGTTAGAAAGGAAAGCCACAATGTGGCCTGCTTGATTTTTAATGAGGTTTTCTTTCTGTTTCTACGTTTAGTGTCCAGTAGCTCTAACTGCAGTGCTGGGTATGTCTTGTGTGTCACACACTGAATCCCATCCATGAGTCAGATCCTTTTTGTTTTGTTAGAGCTCACATTTCACGTGCTACTGCAGTGTCGTCTAAAGAATCTTAGGCTCAGGCCTACAAAAATCCCATTTTAGTGACTTCCAGCTTTCATAAGGGTTTTCAATGTGACTTTATTTCCAACAGTGCTACTAGTTAAGCCTGTATGTGGTCTTGTACCTAAGAACAGCTCTTGAGCTTAAAGTTAATAAAATCTATGGACAGAACTAGGATACAGTCCTGAATGGCATCAAAATGATTAACTGAAAACAGGTCTTCACTGACTTCTGTGTAGGCTGTTAGGTTAGCAATTTGGTCTTGAAATTCTGAGGCAAGAAATGAGCATCCAGAAAAGGCCAAACGATTTTTGCCCATCTTCTTTGTCCTGTTGTGAAATATTGTGACAACACATACGTTTATAAAGTAAGATCTTTAATTTCAGTCACTTTTTTTTTTTCTCTAGTGATGTATCCTATCAAGCACTTTATGCAGTCCGTTGACAGTGTTGGCATAGTGCTTGCAAACTGTCCCACAGCTCTTATCAGATCTTGCCTGAGATCAGAGACTCTGTGCTCTGAGAAAGAAGACCTACAAGTGACCTTGTACAGTTAATAATGGAAACTGGTATGCATGTTGCCTTCAACAGTACATCAGAAATATCAACACTGTCTAGCATATCAGTTCAGAGAGAATTAATATTAGAAGGCCAGAGATTGTTGCATACCGGTAAAGAGGTTCAGGATCTCATGCAGACCTTTGTCAACTGCTGTAGCCTCAGTGGTTCCATATCTGCAACATCTAGTAGATTCACTGCCTTGACATTTTGTAGGTGTAACCCTGTCATTGGGATATTCTCTGTTTTTTGTAAGATTGAATGTTTATGATTGACTTCTGATACCTTGATTGTGGAGAATCGCAGTATCCTAGTTTGCCTTCTAGTTCATCATTATAAATCTTTATAGTGTGCCATATTTTGCAAGTTCATGTGTTTCCCTAGTCCCAGCTCATTGACCTCAGAAAAACAGGATCATGGCTGCTGACCTTTTTGACCGTGTTTGCTCCTGTGCCACAGCACCTAAAAACAGACTTGATGAAGCAGTTCGACAGCCAGGTGAACGAGTTTGTGGACAACCTGATAGAAGAGTCCGCCAGCCTGGAGTCCCCAACGGTCCACTCTCTCTTTCCCTCTGTGCTGTGCGAGAAGGAGAGGAACAAACTGAGGTATGAACATGTGTACCACACCACCTCCAAAGAGCTGCTGTTAGCAGCTTCTTCTCAGTCCCACACTCCCTCGTTCAAGCATAACGTCAGGATGCTTTCATAATTGTCTTTATGCTTTCAAAAGTGAGCGTGACGGATCTGTAAACAGGTATCTGTAAAAATCTCCAAGGCTATTTCTCCTATGCATGTAGGGTCAGTGGTTTCCAGCCGTACTGCTTTGGATATCCCAACGCACATTCTGCCGCTTTCGTGGGGATGCTGTAGAATTCACTGTTCATTTTGTTGTAATAAAAATAATTAAAATCAGATAAAGCATTCATTTCCACTACACTATACCTGATTACTATAAAAGCAACACGCTCAGCGCATTCCATTCCACTCCAATCCTGCTTGCTAGATTAATGAAAACCCAAGGGCTGTAACCTGGGCAGGAACAGAACAGTGTTCGCCAGTGTTTGAAGCCTTGGCTTGTTCTCTGCTACACAGTAGGATCTCCTCCTTCCCATATGAACACAAGCTTTTAAACCACAAGGACCATGCATGGCTAAAGGGACAAGTGAGAAATGTCATGGTTTCGTAACATTTTTCATTCACTGAATTACAGCAACTCTCTGGTACACTCTGGTCTTTTGCCTTTAGCCAGCCATTTGTTGCACCATAGCAAAGGTTTTCATTATTGTTGGAGAGTAATTTCTTCCATTTCGAATTGGCCCAATTTGAATTCTTTATTGGCCTGTCCCGCTGGTCCATCTATCCTTATGTGATACCACAGCAGCCATTATTCACATTGTGACGCCTCAGTCCTAATAGCAGGGCTAGGACATCAGTCACGGTATTAATGCACTTGCCACTCGTAACACTGTATGCTTAGACCCCTAACTAGTTTCAGATCTACCACATAGTCTTGTAGCGTTTGCCACTTAACTGTGGCTTGTACAAAGCTCTGTTGTTGTTTAACCATGCCTGCACTATGCTTTACGGCTCTTAACCACAAGAATAATTTTGTGCATTTTATTAAACATGCCGTAGAAACATTTTCATTGTTTTATTATGGTATATTATGGTCCAGCATAGAAAACTGTGGAAAAAGCCTACAAAATGTTTAGGTTTAGGTGAAGTAGTGAATTTACAAAGGTCAACTTTCATAATGGTGGTGTTGGAGAGTATGCAAAATGGATGAGAGTTTGACAATTTGGTCCTAACAGATCCTAGCAGATCATGAGAAAAGAACTTTAAAGCCCAATTTTATTCTTTTTGTAGTGTCAGTTTCTGTTCCATTCTTAACATTCCCTGCAAGATGGCCTTTCTAAAAGAAAAGGAAAAAATCACTTGTTTCTCCACAAACCACTCTCCTTAGGGGTTTGGAGAAACATTTCTCAATGATAAAGAGTGAATATTGCAAACACCATCTGAAATTGCACTTTCCTCTATTACTTTTGACTGTGTGGCCCTCTTCACAATCTAAGTCGAGATCTGTGCAAAGATCAGATTGGCGAGAATCACAACTACGGCAGAGATTATAGCTCCAAAGGACCTGGTTTTGTTTATTCTTTTGTAGTAATTCTTATGGTTCTAGTGTTATAGCTGCCTGATTGAAAGACTTTTCTTTCTTTTTTGTTTTTGTTTTTAGGCATACGAGACCTCCCCCAGATCAAGGCAAGCTGTTTGTGTCCCGGCGCTCCTTGTTAGAGTGAGTAGGCCGCCTGTGATGCAGTTTCTTTGAGAAGTGAATAGGCTATTGGTGACTCCATCTGCAGAGCAAGGCTAGGAGGGGTTCCAGAGGACAGCAGTGTGGATTCTTGATCAGTCTTCCCCTTCTCTGCTTCTGATAGCAGGGGATGTGTACACGAAGTGTTTGGCGTTTGACCTGTTAATTAGGTTGTCTTAAAGCTGCCTGGTGCTCACTTCCCCTGGCAATGATTAAACATGTAAAGGCACAAAAAACCCAATGGAAAAATGCAAAGAAATAGTTGTCATCCCAATCTCAAGAAAATAGCAGTGTCAGTTTTTAGCTTAGGTTAATGTTACTAAGGCCTATATAAGGTTCTAGAGTTTCAGACTGTTTCACTCTGGAATTCACTCGCCTGGCAGTGCTGGTCAAAGCAGGAAGTGATACCGACCTGTTGTCATTCTAGACAGCAACCCTTCAATGTTTTTAATGAACAATACAATGAATATCCCATGTGCCACTGGATAGTCAAAAATTCAACAGACTAGTTTTTTATGTCTCAGAACATAAAATATAGTGTAGATGTTTGTCAAAAATTACAGGACACAGAAATAAAAAGCTTATTACTGACAAACAATGCCACCTCTGCAGGACATGATTCTGAAAATAATATTGGGGAATTGAACACTCGCCACAGCATTCCTGGTTGTCCTATTAAGAGGTTTCCTATTGTTAAGACATCCTGAAATAATGGAAATCCCATTTTCTCGGTAATGATCTTGATGGTGGGCATAACTGAACACTGCGAATCGTGCATCCCTGTGTTCTGTGTCCCATTCACTGGCTTCCTGTCAAACTCCATGTGGACTTTAAAATCTCCACGCTCACCTATAAGGCTCTGCATGGCTTGGCACTTCAGTACCTGAACTATTATCGCCCTACTCCCCACCTCGCAACCTTCGCTCTTCTAATTCTGCTCTCCTTACTGTCCCCCAAACCCGTCTACATTGTATGGGTGACAGGGCCTTCTCCTGTTATGCCCCCAAGCTCTGGGACGCTCTCCCCAAGGATAACGGAGAATCAGCTTCTCTAAACTCCTTCAAATCCAGACTCAAAACCTTGTTCTTTAGAAGAGCCTTTACTTAACTGGTTCCGTTCTTTACCCCACTGCTCCTACTATACTTAGTACCACCATCCACAGTCTCCTCTGTGTGTTGTACTTGTGTTTTATCTTGTGTATTCTTTTTATTTATTGTTGTTGTCATTCTGTAAAGCGCTTTGAGAAGCCTCCTTTAAAGGCGCTATATATACTTAAGCTTTTTTATTATTATCATAAATGAAACCAACCTCCTTCCTCCCTTCAGCGAACTATTTGAAGTGAACCACATCCGTACCATCTACCACATGTTCATCGCTCTGCTCATCCTCTTCATCATCAGCACTCTGGCTGTGGACTTCATCGATGAGGGCAGGTGAGAGACTTGCCTTGTGTTTCTTCAGACTTTACTCTTATTTTCAAGAAGAAATGATTGTAGTGGAACAAGCAACCTGGGGAACCTAGTACCACCACCGAACAGATGTTGTTTTAAGGAGCTTCCTAGAACCCCTTAATTTACAGAGAGAAGGGGATAAACTGGACCAGCACCAGCCCTGATATTGGTCCTGGGTTTCATGCTTCACCTTACATTTGGCAACCCACAGGAAACAAGTCCATCTCCTTCTGGTATGGACCATCAGATTTTAAAAGATTCTAAGTGTGCCTTTTTTTAAAAAAAAAAGAGTATGATAAAATAAGGCATTTGAGTTAGGATTTAGGCTGCCTCTGTGAATCTTTAAAAATCTTTTTGCCTTCCTCTTTTCCCTTCTCTCCCTCGCTTGTGGCCAGGCTGGTGCTGGACTTTGACCTCCTGGTGTACGCCTTCGGCCAGCTCCCCCTGGTGGTGTCCACGTGGCTCTGCATGTTCTTCTCTGCGTTTGTCGTCCCCTACGTGCTCTTTCACCAGTGGGCCCGGCACTACCGCACCTCCAGCCACCGGGCCCTGGGCTCCTTGCTCGCCGGCGCCCTCTTCCTGCTCTTCCAAGTCCTGGTCATGGGCTTTCTGCCCACCTACGTGGTGCTGAGGAACAACCTGCCTCCCGCCTCACGCTTCATCATCATCCTGGAGCAGGTGGGGCCTCGCCGACAGGCCTGTGCAGTCTGCCTCCCTGTCCCTGTCCCCAGATAACTCGGCAAAAGCCAAGGGTCCAACGTGAGAAGTGTTAATTTTATGCTGTGTTGGATTTGTTATACGGAATTCTTTCGGATTTAAAAAGAGCAACACCGTGCAGGTTTGCATCCAGGCATCTGTAGTAGAAATACACCCAGGCATCTATAGTAGAACTGGCCTCAATCAAAGGCCCAGCTCGCAGATACTGCTGTGTTTGTGCTTGTTCTTTCTAATGCTCAGGGTGGTGATGTGTTCTTTACACATTATTTATAGGGCAAAACAGTATGGCTTTTCAGACTTTCATTCTGCATTCCGGGTACTCCTCCTCACTTCTTTGGTCAGAATAATTGCTGTTTTATTTTGTTCCAACTCATCAGAATTGATGGTTCTAGGATTACGTGCAATCTCCTAGACTCTAGAGGTTTGGGATCAGGTTGGGCCACTGCTGAGCTCATCGTTATGAGTTAAGGGTGTAATAGTCTGATGGAAGAGTTTCGTAAGATTCTAAGCCACAGGTCTGTTTTCAAAGTGACCTTCGCTGTAAACAACAGAGTTATTATTATTGAAGTTGTGCTTTTCATCTGAAAAATGTAAATGTGGGGGGAAAATATTTTATTAATCTTCATCTATAGTGGATTAATCTTATTTTATTATTATTATGGGACCTTGCTGGCTGCAAACTGTCACATCAATTGACTGGATCCATATTGTCATTTTCCTTTTTGTCTCTTAAATGATACTTACAATAATTTATAGTTGTATGGCTTCCTGGAAACAAAGTGAACACTTCTGTCCAGGCCTTTAAAAATGGTTTAAATCTAGTACTAATTCACTTCTGTCTTTTAATTTGATCAGCTTTCAACATCTGTGTCCAGTTTTGTCAGTAATTGAAACAGGGACATGAAACACAATTGTACATATCATATGCAGTTGTATTGCTGTTGTTCTGAAAGAATATTACATTACTAGTTAGACCTAGTTCCAGTGTATCTAATCATTGATAGCCCACATGTGGTTTTGGCCAAAGGAAACCAAGAAGTCAAACCATCTAGACAGGTATTGTGACATCAGCAGCCCCAAGCCACCAATCCAGGAGCCTCAGCACAGTTAAAGCAGTTCAAACCGGCTGCACTACAAGGTCACGAACCGTTAGTGCCATGGAAGCATACTGGTCAGGGCTATGCTGGTCAGGTTTTGCGTGTGATAGATGAGTGATATTATATTGCTCTTCTTAAACAAATCTGCTGACATCTGTGCAAATAGACAGCTAAAAGTTTCCGTGATCCAGTCATATTGTTACATTTGAATGCCACCACCTAAGGCGGTTTCAAACTTTTCACCCATTTTTACATAGGTTTCCATGAATGAGAGTCTTCTATGATCCTGGTGTATCACACACCACCACACAGTGGTGGCATGGTAGTCACTGCTACCCCACTGCTCCAGGCTCCTGGGTTTCAGTCTGGCTTTGGTGACGTGTCTATGTGGAGTTCTCATGTTTTCCCCATGTTCATGTGAGTCAGGTGCTCTGCTGTCCAAACACCTCTTAAAAAAAAATGCAGTTTAGCTTTGACTGGCTAGTCTAAATCGTTGGCTGGTGACGGGGGGAGAGAGAATTGTCTATTTGACCAGTACTGGCTATTTGACTACAACCGTAAACGGGGAGCTTGAGAAACTGAATGGCCTGCTTTGTTTTTGTATTCATTCCAAAGTTCAGATAAAGTCTTTTAAAGCGCAGGTTTTAAATCTAAAATATTCTCTTCTGTGTTTTTGCTCACATTTCTCTTCACATGCTTACATGGTCTGACATTCTTTCACTGTCAAACAGATTTTTTTTCGGAATGGTTGAAACGCAGTCATGTTGCACTCCTTGATCTAAGAGTCTTGACTCAGTTGTCATGCAGCTGAACTCAGTTGATCTCAACATCATCATGTCCTATCGTTAGTCAAGCTATGTAATAGCTTGTGCACAAAGGGTTTATTAGTGATTTAAGGTAAATGCAAGCAACTTTGGAGGAAAAAGCTCCAAGAACCTGCAGCATTGTGGAAACTGAGCTTGACATCCTTGGTCTGGCTTGATCCTTTTTTTCTAACCAATTAGACAAGAGTAGTAAAACACCTGAGGCAAACTGCATGGTGTTTGAGATTGTGACCTCTCTGTTCATGTCTGCTGGCCCCTTCAGGTTCGCCTTATCATGAAAGCCCATTCCTTCATCAGGGAGAATGTGCCCAGAGTGCTGTCCTCTACCCGAGAGAAGAACAGTAAGACATTTCTGGGTATCTGGGGGGTATCTGTGCCTTAACTCAGACAGACAGGCATGGCAAAGCAGGGGATCCAAGCTTTTTTCACAAGCGCACAACTTTCTCATCTTTTTTTATCTTCATTCAAATCTCTCGCTAAATCTGAGCTTCAGTTTTTCCATTAGCTTCTCTTTCTTACATTGTGTTCCAAAAATATGCCATTGCTTTTGGTGAAGAAGAGGAAGCACATTTTCCATTTGTGGCTTAAATGTCCTTGATGAATTTCACCCTGTGCCTCTCCTTCGGGGTTTGTGTTAAGTAACATAAGTTGTTTCCTTAAAAAAAAGTCTTCCTACATTCATATTTCCAATTTTTAAAACAAGGAATTGTGACATCTGAAAGCACACATTAGTACATGATGATTGTGTGTTAAAAGAACAGATTTTTCAGGCAGTAGGAGAAGTGCAGTTCTATATTTTTGTATTTCTTCCCCAATTTGCTTAGAAAACCTGTAATGTTTTTCTCATAGAAAGGCTGAGATGGATACAGGCTTGAATTCATTGCTGTTGGCTTATAGAGTTAATATATAATATAGTTCTTCAGTGAAAGATGTTATGTGTTCATTTAGTTATGTTATCTGTGGAATATTCAGATGCCATATATAGTTGTAGCTGGTTTTATGGATTAATGTTGCTCTAATCCTCAAAGTCTGCATATCAGCAGTATAGAAGACAATAAAGATGATCATCTTCATTATATTCTGTAGTCATGTGCTCTCCCTTTTCACACATCTTGCCAAATTCTTAATCCAGACATTACGGAGCCCCAGTGTCTCTCCACAAAGTGATGTTGGAAACTGACTGCTATTTCTTTTTTCAGACTCCATGTCCACACCCCAAGTGTCGCAGTATCTCTACTTCTTGTTCGCTCCAACACTCATTTACAGAGACAGCTACCCCAGGTGAGACGTCCAGGGGACGAGACTGCAGAGATGTACTGCACCCCAGCAGGAAAAAGACGTGCAGTGTGTGACCCCAATGTCACAGCAAACAGTGCTGTAAGAAGTACAATCACAGGGTTTCCTAGACAGCCCAGTGCAACATTTATTTACAGTACATTAACTGACTTACCGCTAAATATGAGGTATTTTTGCACACTGCCCTTTTATCTAAGGAGAACAGTGCTTGTGCTAAAACCATGCCTGCGGGAGTATTGTCTCATTTTCTCCTTTGACAGCATAATTTGAGTTTGTCAGGGTTAATTACTTCTGCCTCCAGGGTTAAGCAAAAAATGCTTTACCTGAAGGAATTCAACTTTACTTTTTTTAGTGAGAATTGCATTTCTTGTGCTGCCTGGTTTCCATGTCTGTTTTTTTATGCAGTGTAAGAAATAGAGTGATATTTAAATAATAATTAGATTGATATTTTGCCTCATGAATGCTCGCTACATTTTTCTGCTTTGTTTGACTGAACCAAGTAATATAATGTATAAACTTCCTTTTGATTTCCATTTCCTTGCAGAAATCCATCGATTAGATGGGGGTACGTGGCAACCAAATTTTTGCAGGTACCTGTAAACTTATTTCCAGATTTCTCAGTCTAAATGCGGGTAGAGACTGTGCCTGGTCCAATAACTCATTACACGATGTTCACAAATTTCCTTTTGCCAAGATCAGGCTACATGAATGGCCAAACTATTTGGAACCCACATGAGCATGAACAGTCAAAGTGGGGCATTGCCTGTATTCCACAGAAGTCTATTAAGTCTAGTCTGCTTTATCAAGCCAATCCATTCCCATTATTCTAACAGGACAATTTCACTTCAAGGTTGTGATGAGGAAAATGGTGTGTTGGATTGAACTGTATGCTAGTTCCACCAGTTTTCATTAGGATTGAGGTCTGGGGATAGTTCTGACCAGGCAAAAAATTGTCCCTTAAGTATTTGCATTTTCTTTCAGAATACAGAGAGCACAGTTTCCCGAGGCAGTGGTTTAAAAGTCATTACTTACCCTCTCCTGTCCTCTTTCTTAAGTTGAATGAGGAGTTTCTTACCAAAAAAGTGGCTCCCAGTTGTTCACTAATAATCTGGCCTCCCTGTTTTTCAGGTGCTGGGCTGTCTGTTCTATGCCTACTATGTGTTTGTGCGCCTCTGCATCCCTCAGTTCAGGAACATCAGTCTGCAGCCTTTTAAACTGCGAGTGATGGTCCTGTGCGTCTTCAATTCTATTCTTCCAGGTAAGGTTTCACACTGCAAGTGTAGAGTCATTGGTGAAGTTACAGCACTGTAGCACTCTTTATTCTCTGAATAAAAAGACATCGGTTTTGAGAAATGTTCACAATGGGAATTTAAATGGTAAAAAGTCTCCTGTCACTTAACAGCTACCAAGGCTGCCTGTTAGTCTGGTCTCCATAACTCTATCCTCCACTGTCAGCAGCTCAGAATGTGGGCTCATTTGTGTGGTCTTTTAACCCTGATCTCTCGTGGTCAATCCTTCCCTGTTTTCCTGGTCTCTTAAGCTATGCACTCACCTGTAGAGACCTGGTATGCAGCATCTGTTGCCTGTAAGTGGCTACCTCACACCGCTGCTAGGAGGGAGCTCATATTTTCCTAGAGGAATGCTTGTCTCAAGTATAGGGACCATAAGGACACACAGCTGCCTCCTCTCCATGGTTGATTAAGCGGACTGCCTGTCACAATACACATTACACTTGGGTATATATATAGTATGTATACTAAGAACCATTAAAGCGCATGAAATTGTTATAGGACAAGACAGTATAAACCTATTAATTAATAACAATGTACTGACAAAATCTGAGAACATGTCCTGATAGACAGTGCGAGGACACCCCCATAATGCAAATAACGTTTCCTGTAAACCAAGCGCCATCTTGTTGTAAAAATCTAAAAGTCCCAGAATTTGTTGTTTGTAGATCTGGCATGGGAGTCGGCATGTGGCCCTCACAAGTATATAAATACAGCAGGTAGCTATGCCAAAATGTAAAGTTTACCGTTTCACGCTGGTTTTTACTACGGCCAAAAGAGCAGACCATGACTGATAACCTAATATGTGCAAAGACGAGGAAGGAGTAGGAAGGCTGAAAGGAAAATAATGGCATTTAAAATGTTGTTGGGCAGCCTTTAATAATACCTAAGCATGTCCAGTGTGCCTCAAGGCTGTCCTCTGGAAAACATAACTGTGGAGCACACTGTATGTCACTGAGACTTCAACCCTCTTTCGTGTTTCTGCAGGAGTGCTGGTCCTCTTCTTGGCATTCTTCGCCTTCCTGCATTGCTGGCTGAATGCCTTCGCTGAGATGCTGCGCTTTGCTGACAGGATGTTTTACAAGGTCAGGAAAAAACTTGAACTTTTTCTCCCATTTTGTGTGTCCTCATGTCAAAATATATATCCCAAATAGGATTTGCTACTGTGGCACAAGATGTCTGTGCCTCAGGACATGCGTTTTGCAATTCAAACATCCATAGGAGCATGCCTATATTATTGACTGCGCCCTGGCCTGAAGAAACCTTGGATCTTCAGTATGTGCACAGTGATGTTTGAAACTGGTTAGCTGTGTCCGTCTTCCATAGGACCTTATGAAGCTGGGAGGAGAGTCAGGGTGTAGTGTCTTTACTCATTGCTTAACCTCATCACACCCTATTGTCATTATAGAGTGCAATGCAGGGCTGTAATTATTCATTCTTCAGTCTTAGTAACTGACATGAAAACAAAATACTTTTTTATATGTAGTAGTTGTTGCAGTACATTTACATTTTCAGTACTTCTTTTAAGTTGCAAATTTGTGTGTCTACAAATGGATGGTTGTGAAATTTTGAGAACTTGTGCATATGTGTCTGAGGTGTGTACCAGCTGAATAGAACTTTCTAGAACACACCAGGTTATGCAAGACTCGAGATTCTTTAATTTGACTTTATGTAAAAACTTCCTGTGTGTCCTGTAATAAAATTACAGTTTACGTACAATAAAAGTTACTTTAGATACTTAAACAGCAAGTACTGTGAGAGGTTCTTAATGCAGATGAATAGTGCAAAGTAATCATAATGCGTTTGTCACCAGCATCCACCAGGACTGTGTTTTATACTTCAGTCTCACTGTACTTTCCTGCATGTGGCAGGTTCTGCGTATTATCACAGTTTTTCATTGACAATTGTGCATAACCTGTATTTCAACCATGTCAGGGGAGCAATTAAAATAGTATCATTTTTATTATTTATGTCATTTGTGTTTAATTACTGAACAGTACAGTGTAGGGCAATGAAATGAGCCCTCCCGTGCCGTGAAATAAGAGCTGAAGCTGAAGCTTTCTTTAGAATCAAATGTGATACAAAATGTGAAAATGTGAAATTGCTGGCAATGTGGATTTAAACCAAAGTTCAAGTTGGGATATGAGCTTCTGAAAAAAACTGTTATCAATATGAGCTCTTTTTCAGTTTTCTATTTTATGCGTTTTTCCCCCTATAAGGACTGGTGGAATTCAACATCCTTTGCTAACTACTATCGCACCTGGAATGTTGTGGTGCACGACTGGCTGTATTACTATGCCTATCGTGACTTCCTCTGGGTAAGACCATGGGGCATTTGGGGGTTAAGGGAATTTGTGTGTTACACTTTTTTCAGGAACTTACATATTTTATTTGGCTGCCTATTGTGAGTTTTCACCTCAGAGATCGTACTACTATTGCTATAACTTATGTATAGTGTTCTGTTGTTGATGTTTGTTTTACAATACCATACTTCCCTCAGTAAATAAATAGCAGTCAGTCTTTGTAGTGGTGACTTTTCACACTACATACTGTATATCACCCTGGCGTTGAAAATCGTTTTGTAAGGTTGCCTTGTTCCACAGGTGGGGAAAAAATAAAAGAAGACCTTTCACTTGTCAATTACTAAATTAAATTACTATAATGAAAGTCAAACAAGCTCTGGCAAGAGTGATTAGCATCACCTGTATACTTGGCTTTAGGGATTCATTAGTTCAGACACTTAGCTGCTGAGATGTTAAGTGAAAGCCAGCTGCCTTGATTCGGAGTTAGCGATGTCTTCCTGTGTTTAACAATGCATCTGAACCACAAATGGTAGCTTTAAATGAAAAACAAAAATCAAACATCAAAAACGCTGAACACTCATGTAGCTATTATTATAGTGTAGGAATGTATAAGGGGAGTGTTAAGGGTGAATGTAATTAAAGTGAGACATTAAATGTAATGTTTTCCTGTAATCTTCTCTATTCACATGCAGGTTTCGACTTCACACCTCTCCCCACTTCGCACTACCTGAGTGGCCTCTCTGCCTCTCCCCTGCTCCCGCCTCTTCCACTCTCCCAGCTTTCGTTCTCCTGTGCTATTTAATCTTTGCTGTCTGCCCTGTCTTTCTCACGCCCAAAGAAGGCTCCACAGCCAAAACGTTGTGTTTCCTTTCTTCTCTTTTCAGCATGGAATAAACCTATTACTTGTTCCTCTACATTAAATATAGTCTCTTAAACAGAATTTTTGAAAACATTCTTTTAAGTTAATTGAACAGTATATAAAAGAATACTGATAATGGACTGAGAAATGTTACCGTGATCACATTGTGTCTGTGTAATACAGAAGTGACAGTGGTCATCTGGGAGACTGAACAAGTCTGTTTATTTTTGGTAAATGTTGATTTATGTCAGTGACGTCACATTGTCATTTTCCCCCTATTCTGTATATTTGAATGAGGGTTATGACTGGCTCCAGTAATGCTGACATCTGGATCAGATGTTGCAGCGTCGCCACACATCATGGTTGGAAAGTGTAAATTCTGTATACACGTAGTAAAACGAAGCACGTCTTGGGTAACGAGAAACTTCAAAATTGGGCCTGTTTATGAATTAGGAATTCCCACTTCTTGAGAAGGATTGGTGTTAGAAGCTAATGGCCGACAAGGTGCTGTCAGTGGGGTTTGAGTTGGAGAAGAGTGTGATTTCTGGAACAGGAAGGGTGGGGCCTGACGTGGACTGTCTCTCTCTCTGTCTTCAGATGCTGGGGAAGAGGTTCCGGGCGGCGGCCATGCTGTCAGTCTTCACGGTGTCCGCGGTGGTACATGAGTACGCTCTGGCCATCTGCTTTGGGTTCTTCTACCCCGTCCTCTTCTGTCTCTTCATGTGCTTTGGGAGTAAGCTGTGTCCTTTTTCATGTATCCGGAAGGTTTTCTCCACCCTCTTGTTTAGCTTCCTTTTCATAGGCTGGTGTAGGAAGAGGCGTTTATAGTATCAAACACAAGCAATACCAAGTTAAAGAAGTCTACAGATTTCTTTTTGTTAGCCTGAATATTTGCTTATTATATATATATAGCATTCCAGGTGTCTGCTGTTGACTAGTGTCTTCATCTATATGCAGCCACATTGCTACTAACATCCCACAGAGCGAGCAAAGCCATTTATAGCGACTTTGTTCGCCAACCCCATGAGGTGTTCTTTACAAGTATACCTCACTTAGCAGCTTATCTTTTCCACAGCATGCTTCTTTAGCTAGTGATCTGCTAGTTTCAAATATTGCACTCCATTCCATTCCTGGCCTTTGGAAGTCCTACTGCATTTACTTGACTCACCTTTAATGACTTATTTCTCCCGGGTGCTGACAAGGACTCAAACAGGAGTGGATGTGTCGGAAAGACATGCAAATTAATGCAAAGGAAAGAAAGTACTCAAGTTTCTCACCCATGAGCGGTGTCATTGTTTGAACTGTATTATGGCCGCACCTGCTCTGGTTTCTAAACATGTCTCTTGTGTATTTTCAGTGTTGTTCAACTTCATCCTGCATGACCGGAGGAAGGGCCCCATCTGGAATGTCATCATGTGGACTTCTCTGTTCCTAGGCCAGGGGGTCCTGCTGTGTCTGTACTCCCAAGAGTGGTATGCCCAGCGCTACTGCCCGGTGCAGAATGTAAGAGCCTTCCCGTCAATCGTCAATCCCGCATATCGACAAAAGCAGAATCACATCTTGTCTCAGGTGGCAGTGCAGCAGAGCCAAGTGCCATTGCTTTTGAGTTATGGATTGTGTAAGACAAGAAAACGAAGCAACCAGTGAAGGCTTGGTCAGTACCGAGAGTTTAGAAGGAGGTTATGGAAGCTAGCAAGAGCCAGTGTAGAGCTTCCAGCACAGCGATCCTCAGCGCTTCCAGAGAATTGTGTGTTTTGCAGCCAATCAGAAAACAGCTCCTTCAACAGTGATAGAGGAAAATGGTTGGGAAATTTTTAAAATGTCTAATTTTTGGAAAGTTTTCCGTTTCTTTAAAGCCATCTGTTATGGCTGAGCTCACCAACAAACATCTTTTCATCCATGAAGATGAAGTGTTGTCTTAAAATATTTTTCTAAAAACGTGTTTAAAAATGTGATCAAAATGTATATGCAGCAGAGAAGTAACTGAGTGTGCCTTCCTCAAAATCCAGCATTGTGGGAGAATCACCAGATATTTATCACTTTTACTTTTGCAGAACATAGAATTTCTTGTGCCCCGAATAGTTGTGTCCTTCCTTAAATTTAAGTATTAAGTATAGAATCCTTCTATACTTAATAATGGGAGGTCAATTGATTGGGCTATATTTAATGATGCACAAAACAAAATTATTTATAAAGTGAGTAACAACTTCCCTAAAAATAAAGAAAATGGGACATATTGCATGCTAATAACGCCTGCTAATGCTAATAAATTTCCATTTCTTTTGCACTGTTGGAAGTAACTTTAAAAGTGCTTCTGTAATTTTTGTATGCAATATATTGCAGTCAGTTCAAAGAGGCACTCAAGACTTCAACCAACTCCAACCCTGACAAAACAAATTCAGAAGATCTGTACGTTTTGTCATGTCTGGAATTTGAGTATTACTTTTCAATCTGAAATTCCTGCTGATATTTGTACATTTCAATTAAACAGTATGTATATAGCCATAGTTGAGAGAAATGTATAGCACTCTGACTGCTTGACTCTTTAATCAATATCAGGTTCCATAAGCGGCACCCTGTTTCATCAAAGCGCACAACACAACTATAATCAATCTGGAGAAAATAAACATAGAAAACTTTAGAAAAGATACAAATAAAAATCAAAACGTACTTTACAAATCCTGAACATACAGTTATCATTATCAGAGGTGCAGTCATCTGTGATATTGATTGTGTCAGTGCCAAAGACTTGTAGGACTTGCAAGTGGCATGACTTGCGACTTAGACCCAGGTCACTGCCGTAGAAGACTCAGATTTGACCTTATGCGTCATGGCAACTTGGGCCTTGTAACTTAAAACATCACCAGAATTGCTTTATTTTTTTACAGAACAAATTCCTCCTTTAGAAGCTATCAGGTTGTTAAAAACAACTAAAAAAACAGGGACAATATATTGCAAAGTTATTTTATGATAAAGCATTTTAAATTGTATCCAGCACATAACGTCACTGTTGATAGGCAACACAAAGGTGTTCCTGGCAAATTGAACATCATTCGAAAAGTTAACTATGGGTGAGGAAAAAGCAGTGTAAAAGTGCAAGGGAGAGGCACAATACAACAGCCAGCTCTCGATTAATAATAAAAAACCATGAGATGAACAGTGCTCTAGAAATAGTTTATTATTTTACAGCTAAAGCGTGTAAAGCAGTATGTAAATAGTAAGCAATAAACAGTGGAATTATTGTTCATTATTTGAATAACAACAAAAACCTCCTAACAAAGTCTACTTCCAGCATAATTAACCCAATGTTATGGATAATAAGATGAACCGGAGCATAAAAGCTATAAAAAGTGTGATCACACCAGAAAACGTGATGTGTCTCTGAAGCCCTTTGCATTCAGTCACCTGTCTCCAGTTGAGTAATTCCGGTCACAGTTGACTAGTGACTTATCCCAGGCTCAAACCCGCAACTTGTTGCTCGTCGAGCTCAGTCTGCAATTGCACGAGCATCTTCACCTGTTGATCCACTCAGGAGGGTCCCGAACTGTCTTGTCTTACAAATAGTTAGGTCCCAGCTGTCTGAAATATGGACACATCTAACAATCCCAGAACCCAAGAAACCAATGATAAAATAACGTCCTGCTAAGTGTTTAAAGATAAAATAGAGAGCAGCTTCCTAGAAGCTTTAATGTTTGCCATTTTAACAGTTTTCCTATGCCTTGATTACATACTTTATTTTTGTCAATAAATTAAATGAGACTTTGAATTTGAGATGATTTCGTGACTCGGGTAGGATTTGCACTTGAGTTTTAAGGACATGTCAGGATATCTTCTCATTCTGACGATTTGTGCCTGGAACACAGTCTGAAGATGCAACTCGGTATATTACATTTGCGTTTCACCAGTCCTCAACCTGTTAACCCTGAAACCGATTAAACAGTTTAGCAATCTGAGACTTGATTCCCCGTGCAGTTGGGGCAGTCACCTCTCACAGTGAAGCCCATCATTACAGATTCCTGACCTCTAACTTGCTTTTGCTATGCTGGTTTCAGCCCACCTTCTTGGAGCTCCTGAAGCCACGTTCCTGGACCTGCCACCAACAAGTGTCATCAGCTGGCCGCACTGACTGAAGCATGCTGGGAAGTCCGGCCCTGCCTTTATCAACCAAATGAATGTGATGTTTCTCCTGCCCGTCCCCTCTGGCTTTTCTTTAGTTATTTTTCCCAGTTCACCACATTGTGCCTGGTCTTCACCATGCTGGGTTCCGACAACAGGCTCCTAGCCCTCTCCGAGCGACTGTCTCCCTTTATCTTCAGAAGCCTTTGGGAGCCCTTATTTGAGGTGTGACAGCTTTTGCACTGAAACTTAGTCCTGGAGAGCCATAGGTTCAACTGCTTTCAGACCTGAAAATGTCATCAGCGTTTTTCAGTTTAATTAATTACTTTCATTAACCTAAATTTGTCAGGTCAACAAAACTTCACGTTCCCTATTTAAAAAAAACGGCAGGGCTGTGGCTTTTCCAGACCAGTAATGACTTTCACTTTATTAAAAGAAACATTTGCATTTCAGTATTTTCTAAACGTCAGTGTAGGTCTACTGATTTCTCAGTCATAATATTACACTTGTGACATTCAGGAATACATTTTCTATATTTCATTTACACTGAGTTTAAAAAATTACCATTTTATTTATTTTTTTAAAACATGAACAAGAACATTACTTCTTTGTAGTGGAGTTGAGCATTATCATACTATTTGGATTTTTCCTCATGTGGCATTTTGAAGTTCAAAAACTCAATCTGAAAATCGTTCATTGTTCCCAGACTGCAGTGAACTACAGTATTTTGTGAGTTTCAGAAGTTAAGCTGGGTTTACTTTTTTTAATCGAAATAGATATATTTTTGCAAAGAAGTCTTCTATACTGGGAAGTGATAGCACACAGCACACACTATAACACACAGTACTATACTGATAGCACACAGTACTACTTGTCAAATGCAGAAAAATAGCATATGGACGTGAAGAGTTACTGTAAACCATACCAGGGACACAGACTTTTAACTACATTTCTGCTGGCTCTCAAATCCTCTACATCTAACCTCTTTCAGGAATGTGATGATACCTGGTCTGGGTGACACAATGATGCCAAACCCCACTGTCTGTTTGGCTTTCTTTGCGTTAGACTATATTCAGGGACCTCTCTAACAAAAGGCTTATTCATGGGTTTGCTATTTCAAAAGTTAAGTGCATAAATTTAACATTGTTAACTTTAATGCCTATCGATTAGGCCAGGTGTTTTGGCAATATCAGTCATCTATCTTGCTAATCAGTTTTTCTATGATCACCTGTACACATAGATACTGAGTTTGACTTTTGATGATCAGCATTTTGACCTTTGAATTTCACTTCACAGGGCATACTTGTTTTGCATGCTCCCATTTTAACTTTCTGATCTCTTTTCAAATTTCTATGTCTCCAAATACTACTTGTCTAGGTGGGTCTTTCCCACAGATGCAGGCAGTAGTGGGATTAGACGTTGTTGTTCCTTTGTGCTTTTTCCACCTGCTACTGAAATTTGAGCTCCACAGCCCTGTCATGTTCTTGAGCGACTGTGCCTCCTAGCTTTGAAGTTCAAGTGAGATGCACAGAAATCTTCTTAAATATGCACCAAGTAATGCCTGAGGAGAATTTCTGCAACACACATCCAGAGATGTCAAACATCTTGTTCTGTGTATGAATTATAGCTAGGTCCCTGTCAAGTGTGTTTAAAATTTTATACACACTATCTGGCATTAAAGTGCATGCATTTCCCACGCTAAACATCTTTATTTCAGTCTGCCTATTGCTAAGAGTTAGTTTATTTTGGAGTGCTGGGCACACTGTGGATACATTAGATCAGACTTGTTCAGGTGTTTGTTTTACATTCACTTTCTCTTTGTGTGTTAATCCAGCTTTCGGGCTCTTTACCCTTCAGTGTGTTGAATGTACATCCTAGTTCGCTCTGCTCTGATAGAAGTGTCCGGCAAATCTTATGAAGAACACTCAAGATATTTAATGCTTTGGTCATTTGTGCATTTGCTGCTGTGGATCATACATATAATTTAATGATCCCAGAATACTGTACAAATGGAAAATGTATACCTCAAATTAACAATGACAGAGCTGCCATTGAGTGAAATGGGGGCTCATACTGTATACACTTCCTAATGGACCAGAGTTCTCAGGTTGAGCAATGATTCATGTTGACCGAGGGTCTGTAGTCATGTTCCAGGAAGTTTTCACATAGCAGGTGGAAAAAACAGATCTGGAGCAGAAGAGGGTCAGGAAGATGCAAGGCTGGGTAAAGAGTATTATACTTTGTTCCAAAGTGATCTTTAGTCCTATAGAAACGTGCAATTCTATGTATTTGTCCTAGTTCACCGGCAGAGAAAATGCAACTGCAGCTGGCTGCAGACTACAAAACAAAACCTATTACTGACAGAAAATGTGTATATTAACTCATGTGTGACTACTGTGCCAAAATGATAGGGCTTGTTTTGTTTTTGTTTAGATGTTCCTGCTCATTTAGGGGATGGTTACTGTTAATTGTGTAATTTAGTTTACCCCCTGTTCCATCTAATGATGGAGGGAAGAGATTGTGAATATAATACACTTGAATGGTACAGCTGAGTGGACCAAATCTGCAGTGCTGGTGGAAAGCAAAGGTATCGAAGAGGGTTTGAAACTTGTGAAGTATCAAATGCTTCTTGAAAGGCACGCCGATTCTGTGTTAGCACCGAGTATGAATGTTCCTACAGTAGAGAGTCCACTGCACAAATGTGACCAATGAAGTTTCTGTTCTATGTCAGAGAAGTTCTGCAGTGCTTCTAAGTATGCTCTGTGGATTATTCCTGCTGTGGAAAAAATAAAAATACAATCAAGCACCTTCTGCTAAGGATTGTAGACTCACTACACATTTACGAAGTATGAGGGAAACATTTACTGTTAAATATTTAAACCAGCGTTATTTATTAAGGTGAAAAGTAGAAAAAGTCAGAAATAATATGGAATAGTCTGGCCATTTGAGAAGGCAACTGAAGCAAATTTCAAAATAAAAAGCAAAATCTTCCCTTCCTCCTAGTTGACACTTTTAGGATCAAACCTTTTGAGATGCAGGAGTATTGACAGGCTTAACAAAATCCATAGCATTAGCTAGAATGTTGTGAAGTTTATAAAGAAAGGTTACCACCAGGGGACACTGTGGAGCAATCTATTATAGTAAATGATTAATCCTAATAGAGAATACTCCCTTGGCATGATTATTCCATGTTTATAAAGTACAGAGGAGTTTGTCTTAATTAATGTAACAGACTTTTTACTACAGAACCAGCATCAAAGTGAGTATTTGAATATTATAGTTCTGTTATTATTTAACTGCTGTGCTGAAAAGAAACAAAAAGTCTTCAATTTTAATGAAGAGTGTCAGCTAAACACCAGATCTCTGCAGATGTAATTACGTATGTAGCCTGGCAATAAACCTTTTTTTCCCCATTTATGTTGTTGTGATTTTATTAAAACACTTCAAATCTAAGGAAGAAGGAATTCATTTTTAAGGAAAAATATATTTTCCCAATTAAATTTAAAAACTGAAAATGTTGTACTCACAAAACTACATGCACTGCAGGTTTTGTTCATTCAAATACTAAAAATATCCAGTGAGCTCTTGACTTAATACCTATGACATGTTAAATAGTTAGAAAACAGGGCTTTGAAAGTTTGCAATGTAAAAGTTTTTGTGCATACAACTATATTTTAAATGTTTTTTTTTCCCAAAATATTTTATGCAGCTAACTATTTAGAGCAGGGTTGTCTGAAATCACTTTGTGACTCTAAAGTTGTATCTTACAATTATGAAGGCAGTAATGGGGTTTACAGATCTTTATATTTTAATATGTAGAGGAAAATGAAACTGAAATCCAATTTCTACTGTAACATTATGAAGTGCATGGAAGTAAAATACAAATGGACTAACAGATCATTTGTATAAACTACTGAACAATGTCTCATTGTCTATGGTAAAGTGAGCTTTTGATTCTACTGCTGTACAATGTAAAGATTGTAATTGTGACTGTTACCATATTTTTTAATTGCAAGATATGTTCTTTTCAAACTTACATTCCATAATGAAGATGTGATTTTCAGTCTGTAAAAAAAATAAAATAATTGCACTGTTTTCACATGTTTCCTTTATTTGTGCCTGTTGAAACCGTTTGGATAACAGAATCCTACCCGTGCACTTCAGCATGCTTAATACAGTACCTTTATGAATTGGAGTAAGTTATGTGATTCAAAGTACCTCCCTGGGATATGTCACTGTTTTCATCTTCCCTTTCAAAGGGTGGTTCTTTGCCAATTTACAATGCACTTTTTGAAATCTGGATCAGCTCAGAGAGTGTTGCTCACTGCTTAAATATTTCATGCCACAGCAATTGACACAGTTTCTTCCTGTTTGGAAATCTTCTTAGTCACCTACATTACCGATGACTCCTGGAATGCCAAACAGGCCTTAGAAATTGTCTTGCAAATCCTTGCCAGCATACTTCCATTCCATGTGGAGTGCAGTTGGAATTCCATTTTTTTTTCTGATTTTGGAAGTTACTTCCCTCTAATTTTTCATTGCTGGGTTTTTTTTCCAGTTTGCTGACTGCCTAGCCTAGTTCTTTGATAGCTACGTACCTGGGGCGTGTTCTAGATCAGTGGTTCTCAAAGTGTGGTCCGCGGGCTGACTTTATCATCTTTCTTAAAGCAAGTCTACGGTGTTCAAGGCAGAGGAAAGAATACTGTAGCGTCCGCTACGAAGGGGCTCCCCCTAGGAGCACTGTTAAGAACTGCAAGCTGTAAATAGTGCGAGGAGGGACTTGTGTGTTGGCTCTAGGTATTGGGGTTTCACCAGCTGTTCAGGGGCCTGTGTCTGTCAGTAATGGGGCAAGCACCAGTCTAGTCGTAAGCTTGGCTGGCTTGAGGTTCTGCCGAAATTGCAACGTTTCCATTCATTCTCCTTGGCTGTACCCTTCTGTTGCCTTTGTGTTGTAATGAAGATTGAGTTATGGGGGACAACCTCGCCTCTTCATTCTCCCCATCAGCGCCTATTGCTTCAGTGTTTTAGTTTTATGCACTATGACTGAAATGATGTCACTATTACCGTTCCCAACAACCTACTGTACACTTGTGAGCTCGGATTTTCGTCACTTGTTGGACTGAAAATAAAGAGAAATCGGCTGAACGTGAGACTGAAGTTGTCACGCTTGGATTTAGATCTCACTTCTCTGATTGCTCGACAAAAGCAGCTCCATTCTTCACATTAACCTTTTAAGTAATAAAAACATTTTACAAAACTTTGTAAAAATGTTAGTACTTTTCATCAAATTTAATTCAATATTCGTTATTTTTAGTACATTAACAGGTGATGATTTTTACCGGGTAAGAAGTGGATGTAGGCATAGGTGGTCCACTGCATCTGTGACGTGGTGTGAGTGGTCCATGAACATAGAACTTTGAGAACCACTGTTCTAGATTGGCTGGCTTTCCACAGTACATTGTGATTTTCGGAGTAAACAATACATAACCCTTAAGAACGGATGTTAAACTGAGGTCCTAATTACACTTTCATTAAAGATCCAATGGCAATGTTCAAAAGAGTAGAGGTGTTAATTCTGGTGGCATGATTTAGTGGTACTTCAGGCTTTCAAAGTGTGGCCTACATAAAGTTCAATTAATTAAATTGGCAAAGCAAAAGTCCATTGCCTATTACATTTTACACAGCTGAATGTCTGTTGTCAGACAAACTATAAAGTCGACATTATTTACTGCACTTTACTTTGAGGTATTCAGCGTCTTTTAATTTTGATCAGAAGTTATCTTCTTGTAACGTTTCCCCACCGTCATCAGTCTTTAAAATGTTCCAGTATAGTATTTTCCTGTCCCGGTCACTTTAAAATCTCAGGGCTGAGGATTCAGGGGTAGAAGGTTAATTGAAAATCGTATATAATATTGTAAAAGATACAGTAAATCTGGTTTAACAGGGGATAAGAGGTGTCCGTAATGGCCAAATGTCATTAAATCACAACTGACGTTTTTTCAGAACCAAAACACACTACAGTATAATATGAGAAAAATATATATGCCTCAAAAGAATAAATAAAGGTTTATTCCATGCTGAAAAGAAAGGAGACACAACGTTTCGGCTGTGGAGCCTTTTTCAGAAGGTGTGTCTCTTCTTTTCAGCATGGAATAAACCTTTATTAGTTCCTTTGCAGCCTACATATGCTGACGCAGCTACCTACTGTACTTTGAACGTCTATATATATATACTTTATACGCTTTCGGTATATTTTGACTTTTTAAAAAATGAAATCAACATAGTTATTAATATACATGCTCTTTTCATGTGTCGTAACATACGAAACAAAACACCCATTGTATTCAGTTTATTTTACCCTTAGGTACGTTTGATATTATTCAATTTTAAAAAATATGTAGTATTTATATATACCTTAGTCTATTATTTGTCCATTTCCACAAAGTTTTTTTTTTACATATTAATAGCATTTTAGTGTATTTTTAAAAATCGCTAAAGCATACCTATACCAGCTGCCAGTTTATTTGCTTGTTTTTAGTGACGCTATGAATTAGATAATTTGGCATTTCCACGCCACTGCGTGATATCCTGTCTAATTGTTTTCTCCAAATCGTGTGAATGTGAATACCATCCCACACATTAATTGGTTCGACGCGTCGTACCGCTTCAAGGCAATCAGCGATCTTTGTTTTAAATACGTCGCCTGTCAGGGTTTTCGTTGTCTGCAGCTTTTTGTGTGGTGTTTGTATTTTCACCCCCCGCCTTTAGGGACGGTAAAATGTGGTGTGTATTGTTTTACTGCGTCCTTTTTGGATTTGCAGATTCACTTCCTCTATTGAATGAGAATGCAGTTACCGCTTCTAAACAGCAAGGCTTAATCCATAGGTCTGAATCTCATGTTGGCTTAGGATTGGAGGACCCTCTTGTAGCAAATACTGATTTGGTGCAGGGATCTGCTGAGGAAAAAGATGAGACTGTGGTGGGTTTGCATGGACAAGATAATCACCACCATGATGTCCCCTTTGAGAGTGGCTTTGGAACAGAGGACAGTCCCCTGCATGGCATCCTGATAGACTCTGCTCCTGACATGGTAGGAGCTGGAACAGATCCTGTGGCTGAAGATGCTGGTCTTGGGCTGTTTTCCAATGTTGCTGAAGGAGAACCTCCTGTCGAAAAGGCTCTTGTGAAGCAATTGGATGTGCTGCTTTCTGATGGTGTTCCTGATTTTGACCAGCTCTTCCAGTTTAAAGAAAATTCAAGTTCTTCCTTGGAACAAGACCCTGAGAAGCCAACTAAACTTCCAGTGACAACTGCTCATCTGCCTGTTGTGTACTTGGGAGAAGACTCTCCCTCCAATGTAACAAAGGCACCCATGCCAGATTTCACTAAGAAGCAAACTACTACCACTCTTTTGCCAGAGTCGGATGTTGAATATGATGGAACTGTCCCTAAAGCTACAACTGAAGTAGCTGACCCCCACAGTGATCGCTGGGAACTAGAAGATCCAGAATCTGACCACCTGGAGCTGGATCTGATCTTGCCTGTACAAGATCATGGGCCTTCTGAGGAAGACGTTGCTGACTATTATGCATCTCCATATGGGTATGCGGGCTTCCCTGCATCTGATTTGCCTGAAGCAGACCCCAGTGGTGATGCTGCAGAAGATCTTTCCTTTGATTCTGGAGTGGAAGACTTTGAGCTGGGATTTGATGATCCTGGTGTTGATCCGAGGCTTGGGCTTGGTAGTTTAGACTTCCTGTCTCCGACGCAGGCTCTTCCTTCTGAGGACCAAGAGCTTGCCCTGGATTTGGCAGACTTCAATGCTGTGGCCTTTCCACCTACACAAGTGCCTTTGCGGGACTTTGTAGCATCTGATCTGGGGGTGGATGACCTACACTCTGATCAGAGCTTCAGACCTGGAGGTATTTTAATGAGCTTAGTGGCTTAAAAGCCCTCTTCTGTACACAAATTAACTTTTTTTTTTTTCTCCATAGGAGGACTAGATGATCCTCTAGCACATCTCTTTCCTGGCTTTCCATAGAATTGTAAGTATCAGTTCCTTATTCTCTCCCTTTTGTCCTAATTGTTAGTAATGCTTTTTTTTTTCTTGCAGGAATGACCTTGCCTCCCTGGACATCTTGTGGAGATAATGACCGTCATGCTAGTCAAAATAAAGTCTTTCTCACAAGTGAATTGTCTCTTTTTTTTTTTTTTTGAGAACACTATGGATGCAGGAACTTCGTTGAAAGTTAAGACAGTGTGGTGTAACTCAACTGCTTTGCTTAGATGTACCCCATTAGGCTTGATAGTGGGGGTTAATGAGTGGGGAAAGTTTTGCATGGTAACTGCCCATACAAATTACTGTGTGGTGTGAGGCATTTAGCAGGAAATATTCCATGCCAAGTACATCCTATAGAAAAGAAGGGGGGTTGGAACCTGTCTAAATGCTGGATTATGCTAGCTTACAAGAGTGCACTATGGGGCAATGTGCAATTAATCAGGTAGGGCTGGATTGCCTGTGCTAATGCTTAGAGACTTTTCACCCAAATAAGTAAGGAGTCAGGCTGTGTCCCTCTACTCACCTGTCTAGGTGCCAAGATGAGAAGCATGTAGTTAATTAGGAACTCCTGGATTTATAAAGGGGAGGCATATTTATAGTTTAATGCAAGTGCACATTTTCCCTATAAAGCACTTAATGTTCCTTAGCTTACTTAAACCCTGTGTAAGTTTGTCTATATAAAGAGCCCTTAAACCTTAAGTTAGCATCCAAAGCTATACTTCTCCCTTTTTCCTGCACGGGAGTCTAGCAAGCAAAACCTTGATCTCCAGCTGTAGAAAGATTAGAGTAGTTTTGCAACAACTTGCAAAAGCATGTTGGAAATTGATTTTATGGCTTCCAATAGAAAATTCACTTTCCTCATTTCCCATCCATCATCTCCTCTGTATATTGTAATTGTGTTTTATCTTGTATTTTTTTTTTATTTGTCATTCTGTAAAGTGCTTTGAGAAGCCACCTTTAAAGGTGCTATATAAAATACTTTATTTGGGGGGGGAAGTGTTTGGATTTCTATAGGTAACTCAATAGTATTCTGCTCAAATACACTTTTCTGTCTTTGCCATGTCACTTTGTCTCCATGAATCAGTGGTGTCATTTTATAAGGTGTATTAAAAGGCATATTAATATTCCTGTGTTCACAGCTCGTCAATAAATTCTTATACAACTATGGTTAAGTAAAGCATTGCCTTTAGTGTCATGAAACCATAAGCACTCAGAAATAGTTCCTATGTAAAACGGTGAGCATTCATATTTCATCATGGTACTTAAACTATTTTGCCCACTTTGGAGTACGATTCACAGAACCCATTGAATCAATACAAAAACAATTTAAGATTTCTTAGCATCCGGTTACTATCAAACAACGCCCACTTAGGAGTGTGTGTTCTTTTTCCTTTTCCACCTAGCGGCTTGGAGGTCTTGGATTTTCCAGACGGGAGCTGGTGACTGAAGTCCCCCTGCAAAAGTGAACGCTGTTCTGCGGTAAAGATGGCGGCTGCAGAGGGGGCGCGTAGTGGCCGGAGGAAGACGGAGCGTCCCTGAAGGAGCAAGAAAACTGGGGCGAGGGAAACGAACGGCTCCGGGAAATCTGCTGACTGTACCTGGGTTGCTGGGTGAAAGGATTTCTTATATACTTTCGGGGAGGCTGGAAGAAGAGAATAAGGAACAGGCCGCTCCGTTCCTGTGGGATGTGAACCGGGAAGGGGGTGGGTTACGTCCCGTGGAAGAGCGCTACCGAGGTCTGGGGATATGGGACAACAGGTAGGCCGCGTCGGGGAGGGATCCTCGACCGGACCCCAGCAGCCGCAGTCTCAACAGCACCATCTGGTAAGGGCGAGTAGAGGAAGCGGCGTCGGGAGGAGACCACGGGAGACCGCTACCACAGGGACCCCGCCTGGTAGGACTACCGCTGTCAGCACACCGGATCCGGGAATCAATATTTTCACACAGCATTCAGGTAAGGTTATTAGAGGGCGGTAGAAAACGCCTCAGAAATGCATGCGAAAGAATACCTTTGCTGTTATTCAGATGTTTTGTCAAGGCGGTTTTCAGATGTGGTAAGCTATTACTACCCAAACGCCTCAAATCGCTAGTGTTTCTTTGTGAACAATGTTCAGTCGCGATGCATTAAAAAAAGACTATACAGGCGAGTTAAGTGTTTAGAGAGAGCCACTACAGCAGGTAGTGAGAGAAAATGTCTTTGAAACCAGTTTTCCTACACCGACGTGACAGCCCGGTCTAATTCTAGACGCCAAAGTAGAGTTTTTTAGGCAAGATCTCTTCATGAGGTTTTAAGTATATTGTAATGCATTCCCTTAGCTTATCTTTAAACTAGCTAACCTCTCAGCTGGTCGAATTTAACTGTCATTCCTTTTGCAAATACATATAGATTGCATTAAAACTGAGCCCGTTCTCCATTACATATCAGCTCCCCTAATGGTGTAGACTTCTCAACTGGAAACTGTTCACAATGTCGTGACTGAGGATGTATGCTTCACTAAAGCAATCATCATACGGAGCTTCCTAATTAAATAATACGTCCGAGAATATTTATGAACAATAGACGGATTGAATAAACTGGAACTTTCTGTTAAGGGTCTTTCATCTGTTTGGCTTTAGCTATTTGACTTTGCATTCAGGCGGGGTCACACTAAAAGCAGTAACTCCGAACTGCAGCCATTCTCTCAATGCAAGAAGCGTCACTTGTTTTAATATAGAGCAATCAGTGTTCAGGATTTCCCAGCGCGTACAGTAGTGGAGAGAAAAGCGAGTCACTCTGTCGTTAGAGATTAGGTGCAATGAGTGCCATCGAGCCTGTGTGAATCATCCTAAGTGCATTTAGCGTCTGACGGAAATTGGGCTGAAAACTGTATATTCTGTACTCGATGAAGAGCCTCCTTCATTGCCCAACAGCTGCGCCTCGAAGTGTCAGTTCATTCCCTTTGTCAATACACTGCCGCTTGTTTAATAATGATCTTAAGGGCTGGGATGCAGTGGCTGACTCGTATTGGAAGCCTGCTCAAAAGCCTTCTTCGTTACTCTTGTTTCTGCTGTACCAAAGTATAATTTCGTGGGCTTGTAAAGAAAATCTACACCAAGGACATGTTCCCGGCGTTGAAAACATTTGAGACGAGGGCGTGTTTTTTTTCGTCGCTGAGTACTAAAACGTGATCATTGTACTTAGAAAAGCTCTCTGAACAATAAGCCACAGGTGAATCCAATACTTCTTTCTGCACTGCCGAAGTAAAGACACGTCCTTTACAAGTGGTTTTTCCCTTCTGAATGTTTGGCTGACAATGAAAATTTTTCTCCACGTTTAAGACAGCTGAGCGCACTCCGATTTTGCTCATTGATTTGAGAGACATCCACTTTTAGAGCAGCGAAGGAGACGGCTCCGTTGATGGTTGATCTGACTGAGCAGAACCAGAACAAACATCCCAGTCTGTTCCAAGTGCCTGAGTGCTATCCTTTTGGTAACTGTCATTGTCATTAATTCCTGAATGTAACAACGCTGAGTTAGTCCTTTTTCTTTAACACTCGCAAGAACTTTCATTGCTTGGTGGCCTTTCTTGTCCCAGCCAGCTCCAAGATTTAATGATGATGATAATGGTAATAATAATAATAATAATAATGAATAATTGCTTACACTTATATAGCGCTTTTCTGGACACTCCACTCAAAGCGCTTTACAGGTAATAGGGACTCCCCTCCACCACCACCAATGTGCAGCATCCACCTGGAAGATGCGACGGCAGCCACAGTGCACCAGAACGCTCACCACACATCAGCTATCAGTGGGGAGGAGAGCAGAGTAATGAAACCAATTCATAGATGGGGATTATTAGGAGGCCATGATTGGGAGGGCCAATGGGAAATTTGGCCAGGACGCCAGGGTTACACCCCTACACTTTTCGAGAAAAACCCTGGGATTTGTAATGACCACAGAGAGTCAGGACCTCGGTTTTACGTCTCATCCGAAGGACGGCGCCTGTTTACAGTCTAGTGTCCCCGTCACTATACTGGGGCTTTAGGGCCCACGTGGACCACAGGGTGAGCACCCCCTGCTACAAGGTGCTAAAAGTGTTTAAAGTGCTGCTACAATGTAATTGTGAATGTAAGTTAAAAGGACTGTTAAAACATCTGAAAAACACTCGAGCTCAGGGTTCAGAATGTGGACATACTCAGGAGAATATTAGAATGTTCTCTCTCATATGGCAGTGGTCGCTGTGCGAGGCGTTGACTGTCACAGAAAAGAAAGATTTTTCACCAAACACAAGCATAACATTTCTGGGTAAATACTGCATAGACAGTACTAATGGTGTCAACATTTGGGATATATTCATCCTTCATCTAATTTGCTTTCAATTGTAAACATTCCCTTTTCTTCCAATAATGACTCATATGACTTTAAGCTCTGAACGCGAGATTTCTGCACACAGTCATCTTATCTTTGGAGAGCCTTATTCACAATGTAACAGGCTCTGCCAAGCGCCTCAATTGGTAAAGCACAGGTGGGGAGCTGTGGTCCACAGATTGCTGGTTCAGATCTGGGCAGTGCCATTTGCTGACTGTAAGAGGACTTTCACAAGAGATGGTGCAGGAAATGTCTGGGGTCGGATTGTGGATATTGACATTTTTGATTATTCGTTATCCTTTTTTAATCAATAGGAAGAGGCAATGAAAACAGGGCCACTGTAATGCTTACATTGGTAGTAAAAAGTGTTGAATTCAGATTGGAAAAAGTAATAGTAGAGACATAGTGATATTAATTGTTGGTTGCTACTGACATGCCATGCTTTGCTTACCTGCTTGAAAAAGAAAGATTTTAAGAACAAAAAGGTGTACTCCTTTCAGCAAAGATGAATAAAGTAAAAATATCTGATACGTTTGGCTTCATCAAGCTTCTGGAAAATCTGGATGAGCAGATGATGAAGGCCATGCATCTGCTTCCCACTGAGCATGAAGGCAAGAAACTGGAAATCGAAGTGCATCTGCGCTGAACACTAAAAGTAAAGGGCACTTTACAGGAACAGTTGTGGTTTCAGAAAATATGTATCCAAATCCTATTGGGAATGTTTTTCCATTTATGTTCTTAACGTTTCGTGGTAGTTTTTTGATCAGCAGGTTCCTGGAACTCATGTGAGGAAGATAGGACAAATAGCCTCTTGTTTTGGCACTGGTCTTCTGTGGTGTACAAATGCTCCTATGCATCATAATACTTTCTTAATCAGGACTCGAAGGCTTCAGCTGGGTAATTGTCAAACCTTCTAGGCTCAGCTTTTTGTATCCTAACCTGTGGTGGCTAGGGAATTTAAAAATATATTTACAAGCATGGCACAATTTCCATACAGTTTGATGGCCTGGCCTGCAATACGATTCAACAGGAGTCCCCCACGCTGATGGCAAATCCTGCTTGTTCATCATTTTGAATATGATTCTGGAAAGAGACATACATGGTCATACTGTATATAGTGTTAAATATGGTTCACGAAACTTCACTCCAAATAATTGGCACATAGACATCTTGGATTTCCAGATAATTGAAGTGATTTCATTATATCTGAGGAGGAGGAGGAGGAGGAGGAGGAGGTGCTGTTCCTTTCATGCTGCCTGTTTGCTCAGAAGCGAGTTTCTGCATCAATGGAAGTATTGCTTAAGAGTTAGAATGTGATGAGTCTTGCCAGTGCATCGAATAAGTTGTGTTTCTAAGAGACATGTTTAGTCTTTTTCTGCATTGTGCAGAGCAGCACAAAAGGTTGCCACCGGAGAGTGGGGCCTGGAAATGAGAAAACTCTCATTTTCATGTTTTCCATTGACAGTATCGTTTTTTGCAACAGCCCTTTTGTTATTCTGTGTTGCGGTTCATTGTCAGATTCTGTGTGAGTCACGTCGGTGCCTCCTGTGAAGGCTACCGGCTGGTGAAACTAATAACACATTCCCAACATTTGAGGCATCGTGCTTCTGACTGATGAGCGCATTGTCCCGTTCATGAACATCTCACGGAAAAACGCATGAATGAGAGCTAGATGCCTCTATAAAGGTGTCAGTCCCTGCAAACCATGCTAATTATGCTGATTTTAAAAAGTTTAGCGATGAATAGCTGTTCCTTATAGACCTAAAGCAGGGTTGTGAGGATTTATTAAACTGGATGATTGTACAGACTGTGCATATGGAAACAATGTGCACTGTGACAGTGCAGAGGCCCAAATGAAGTCCTGGTAGCCTTGTGTTGCCATGTGCTCTCATCCTTTGAAGCTTTTCCCAAAGTCAATCTAGATTATTCTGTATGATCATGTCTAATAAGCAAAAATTGGATTTTATTTAGGGTGAAAAATACTGCAATGTGTCAGACTTGATCCGTGGCCTAATTCCATAGAATTTGTTCAAATGCACACCCAATCAGATAAATATTAAATATATGTTATGTTTCATCTGTTTTCTGTTGCCTGTTTCAGTTTTCTCCATTTTAAACTGAATTATCCCCCCCCCCCAGTGGTGAAGAGTGGCAGGCGGTTTCTAAGCATCAAAATGCAGACCTCCAGGTTCAGGAACAGTTCTTATCCCCAAGCAGTGCGTGTCCTGAATAGCTAATAGCTAAAAGCTAACTGCAAACTGACTGACTACAAGCCATGACCACAGACTGTTGAATATTGCATTTTTGCACTGCATACTGCACATTTTTTGGTTACTGTTGTCTTTTCTAAAATATATATATATATTGTAGGTTATATTGTGTCCAAGAAGATACTGTCTTTGCCCTACATAGTGCTTTAATTTATTTCTGTTAACCTGTCTGTTCAGTGAGAGGACAAGCATAGCGAAGAATTCCAATGTACTTGTTACACATGTAAACTTTAAACTGGAATTACTGTAGCATTACTTCTGTAGCCTCTACCTTGATGGCTGTTATATCAGCTGAGCAAGTTTACCATCTCATCCCATTTATCTCCTTTTTCT